AACAAACAATTTAGTTTTCAGATGTCTTCGTACCTATTTCTAAAAATCTTTTTAAAACAATTTTCAATGATCTTCCTAAACTTTATCCTGCGATATTGTCAAAAGATAGTGTTAAGTAGGAAAATTCTTTTAATAGAGGAGAAGGTGGTATTATGGAACCCCAATTACATTTTAGTGAATTGTAAACAAGGTATCATAACTACACCCACATTTTTTGTGCGAAAAGTACTGGTAACTATTAAACTAAATGTTCCTAATTGGATTTTTCAAGTATGATTTTTGAAGGCTTTTGTACAAAAAGTCAGAAAGTAGGCTTTTATAATAGATTTAAAATTTATATTTTATAATAGATATTTTTTAAAATATGAAAATGCAAAAATGCTTTTATAATAGAAAAATATGATCTCCATCAACAATATATATTCCAGCAGCTCTTTTTCGATATTCTCAGGAAGAATTGACTTTCTACCTAGTGTCTTTTTCACAGATTGCTCCGGACGAATGTCTGCTTGCAAAGAGAGAGTTCGAAGGAGTTGAGTTCCATATTACTGTAAAAGCACCAATGAGGTCCGTATTTCACGCATCGCCATCTTGAATTAACTTATGTCTTCCGAGACCAAAATTTAAAAAACGTGAACATCACACAGATTAATATGTACCCCTAAGTCTCTGGAACGGAATACGTGTACTACTGAACCTACAACTACACGACTTGTATTTTAAAAATAATTAAATTCACTTAGCATTCAAAACTTGCGAATTTTGAAAAAAAAAAAAAACAAATTTGCTGATTAAATACGAACAACTGTTTAACTGAAGTAAAACGGGTTTTCCCCTTGCTATGGATGTCTGCCTAGTTCAGTTCAGCCACAATCCGCTGCAGTTCGCCTTTATTATCAGTTCGAAATGGAGTGGTTTCTTAATACCCGCAGTGTTCCATAATACCACCTTTTCCTCTACTAGAAGTCATATCAGTTCATCTGTAAATATCATCTAGTTCTAAAATTCTTATATATATTTCAGCTTTGTAGTGTGTCTTTAAATTGATTCAGCCACGGGACTAGGACCGTGTAATGTTATATTCCCATTCCAAGGAAGAAATAATGTCTTAATGTTTTTAATAACTGATTGCTAACACGTGAATATGCTATACAATTGCATACCGCACAAAATCTTTCGTTTAAAGTTTATATATTATTTAATTAACAATCAGTTGTAAAAAATGTTATTGTCACATGCAGACATGCATTTGAATAGTGTTTAAATGCTCCACACCCTTAAAAGATTTAATGACTGGAAAAAAATCCTATAAGAGAACTGTGTTCTGACCTTGCATATTAGCATATCAAAGAATTGCAATATGATTTCATTGATTTAAATCCATTGGCACTTGGCTATTATTACTTTTATTGTGGTTCCATTATGCGCCTAGCCGAACCCACAACGGTCTTTAAAAATGGCTCTCTTATTGCCCAAAGGGCGAATATAAAGTAAAAAAAAAGGGAAATAAAGATGATAAGCGAATTTCTGATTACAACAAGCAAAAGTTTTGTAATGCAATTTAATTTGTGTGTTTCTGGACATGTTGATTTGGATAATATTAAACGACTGATAGCAATATTCGTGATTAAAATAGGCGGCACTTATTGTACCATTAATTAATATTTCGACATTTTCTATAAGAATTAAAAACATCTAATTATATACAATAATTATTTTACACATTTTACGTACAAAATTCTTAAATATTTATACTATATACCCGAATATTTCAATTGATATTTATTTCAAGTATTGAAACAATAATGACTTCAAAATATATACGATATATATATTGCAATTGCAATAAAAAAATACATTCAATATCTATTTTTATTTGCATTTTATATATATATCTTCAATACAATAAAAAAATAAACTTTCGCTGCCCTTAAATAAAAAAAGAAGAAAACTGTTTTAATATATTTTTGTAATATAAAATTGATTTAATGTCTTACTAAAATGTACTTTTAAAAAATTTGTTCATCCAGTGGATACAAAGGTTTTCTTTAACTCTTTTTGCCTGTGGGCATTAAAAGGGTCTTTTTAGCAAGCTTATAGTTGGTTATGCCAGGCCAAGAATAGAGTGGCCTGGTGATGAAGGACGAGCACGACGTATCTAGGATGGAAGAATTCCTGGGATTTTTGGATCCATCTGGACTCGATCTTGGGTCCCCAGAACTGTAGTACCTTAACCACTCGGCCATTTGGCCCTATAAATTGCTTTGAATTAACGTATAAAATATATTTGACATGTTTAAGAATAAAAGTTACCTTATAGGCTATCCATCAAATATTTCGATAGTATCAGTTAGACGTAGGGGAGACCGGAGATAGTTGTCACAAGTGGCATGTTGTCACAGTGCAAATATCACCTGTATAATCAAAACTGAATGATCACGTCATCAAGGAGTAGGTTCATTTACCGCTCGCCTATGTCAATATAAAATTCGAATAATATCCGTTGCATTGTTAGCGGTTAAAAGATTTACAGCAAGTCGCGCAAATTTTGATGCATCATGTCTTGTGCCGTTTGAAAACTTGCAATTAGTAAAAGGTGAGTAACAACTGTATTTCCTATTAGACGTGTATGTATAGACTACATTACGAGCAATCGAATTTTCTATTTTGAAATTAGAAACTATGAACCGATTTGTTAAGGAAGTTCATTTGGGGCAAATTGTCACACATCGAACGGGGCAACTTATCACTCGTCAGAAGAGAAAGAAAAGACCTGTTTGGTTTGTAGTGAGAGTTTGGTCTCACGAACTATGTAGATGTAAATCCATATTATGTTTGTCACAACTGTAACTCCGAAGACAATATGTAAAGATTCGAGTTATTCGTCTTTCGCAGAATAAATAATAGTAAATTAGTAATCTATTTTCCTTATAGAATTGGCACGAGTAAATGTCATATTACGCATAATTTAACATAACCAAAATAAACTCGGGAAATGTGAGAACTTAGACTACATATGCACTGCGATAATATACTCCTTATATTCTAACAACATACTCCGTCTAGGGGTATGTTGTCACAGGGTAACACAGTTTCTAAAATAATAACTATGACAAAAAATTATTGAATGTTCATATGTTTATTATAAACCAAATCAAAAGATATGTAGGTGTATACATTTTTTACTTAAACCTAAATAAATTGATATTATAGACCCTAAAACTAGAAACAACTAAAAACAGTGACAACTAGCCCTCCCCTACTGTACAAGGTAATTGTGTTTGCTTTTTTCTAACTTCTTTTTCATTCTGAGCGCAGTTTAAGAAGTATCATATGCAAATTAGCAGGATATAGTTTATTCCCGGTAAAATCCAAATCTGACAATCCTCTATAAGTATGACACGCTTCAATGGACGGACAGAAGGCCGAGATGTCTTAGGAATACACATACGGTTCTTTAGAGCCCAAGTTCGATACTCACAAAAAATTCATAAGCAGTTTGGCCGGTTAGCACATTGCTCCCGTCCCATTAAAGTTTCTATAAACAAGTAAGGTTTATAACGTTCACCTGTGAACAGTAAGACCACATTTCTTTTATACTTATCGTGATTTAGTTAGATTCACAATGGAGAAGCCGAGCGGTGAGGGAACATGACATATTTATATCAAACCACCTACGAAATTTTCCGAGACTCGAATTTTGACAGCAGTCTGATGCATTTACCACTTTAGCCATCTGGCCAATTCCCATCACCGAGTCTGGCCGAATCTATTTCATCCTTGTTAAAAAGATAAGTGTCAGCAGGGTAAAGAGAGTTAAAAAGTTTCAAAATGTATAGCTGAAAAAATTCTGATTATCAATTAGAAAAACTAATTTACAACTTAAGATAATTAAATATAAATTAGCGTTTTTAAAACTCCCTCTCTGCTCTATTTTCATATCTACCACGAGTTTGGTCAGGTCATAATGGGGCGATCGGAGATGGGGGACAGAACCTGATGTTAAATCTCTTATGAAAATTTCTGAATGCACGATCCAGCTCGAAATTTCAGTATGGTTGGTTGACCCTTTACAGCTTAGACGGCCGGATGGCCGAGCGGTCAAGGTGGCAGCCTACCGCTCGAATCAGGACGGGTCAAGAAATCTCCAGGAATTTTTCGGGAGGTGGTCCGTTCGGATATGCCGAACCCCATCCCTCACTACCCGGTCGCCCCATTGTGAGCCTGGCCGAACCCATAAAGGGCCAGCTATAAGAGGCCCTCTTAGTGCCCACAGGGCGGAAAGAGTATAAAAAGAAAAAAATGACTCTTTACAGCTTTGGTCACCCGGCTGACGGCGAGGTGCTTAAGGTGTCAACCTCCTATCCTGGAGAGACTCCAGGATTAAATCCAGGCGAACAACCCCAGGAATTTTGCAGAGTGATCTGTCTTACAAGTTAGATATGTCGGACCTAGTCCCTCGCCACACGCTATCTTAGGCCGGATGGCTGAGTGGTCAAGGTGGCAGTCTAACGCTCTATAGGACTCGGGATCAGATCTGGACGGGTCGAAAAATCCCCAGGAATTTTTTGGGGTGTAATTCGACCTGATATGTCGGGCCCCGACACTCACCATCCTGCCGCCTCATTGTGGGCTAAAAAAGAGTACCCACGGGGCGGAAAGAGTAAAAAGAAAAAAAACATGCCGCCCAATTGTGGGCCAAACCGAACTCACAAGGAGACTAAGAAAAGGCTTTCAAACTGCCCACAAGGCTGAGAGTCAAAAAATAAAAGAAAAAGCTGTCGAGGCTTAAATCCATTAGCAATTCTTTGGATCCATCATAATTTTGTACGGGAAACAGCCATCTGATTTTTTTTAATTATATGAATATAAAATAAACATAAAAATATTTAATAAATTTTTATAATTATGAAAAATAAATTTAAATAAAGTTAGCTAAAATTGATATAAGTTTAACAAATTTTTTATTTAGAAATTTATAACGGATATAATGGCGCTGCAATCGTTCTCTTCACAAACATGGCGGACGTCGTTGTCGATTCTGATCGCATAAAGTCGATAGGTGACGTATTAAATAACGTTAATGTACCTCTCAAAGCTCGATTTCGCGCTCTTTTTACCTTAAGGAACCTTGGAGGAAAAGACGCCATAGATCAAATAGCAAAATGTTTGTTACAGGATCAATCTGTACTACTAAAACACGAATGCGCTTACTGTTTGGGACAGATGCAAGATAAATATGCTATTCCAGTATTGGTAAAAGTATTGGAAAATACTTCTGAAGCGCCTATGACGAGGCACGAAGCAGGGGAAGCTTTAGGCGCTATTGGATGCACACAAACCAAAGAAATACTGAAGAAATATACGAGTGATCCTGTTAAAGAGGTGGCAGAAACCTGTCAGCTTGCACTGGGAAGAATAGAATGGAAGAATAGAGAGTCTCATGAAACTTTAATGCCTAATCCTTTTCAGTCTGTGGATCCGGCACCTCCGCATCCTCATACCGACATTTCGGGACTGAAAGACATCCTCTTAGATGAAAATAAATCATTATTTGAAAGATATAGAGCAATGTTTACCTTAAGAAATTTGGGAACTGATGATGCTATTTCTGCTTTGGGAGAAGGTTTGAAATGTGAAAGTGCATTGTTCAGACACGAAATTGCATTTGTACTGGGTCAGATCCAGAGTACGCTATCTATCGGCTGCTTGACCGAAGCGTTAGAGAATAATAAGGAAAACGAAATGGTCCGTCACGAGTGTGCCGAAGCTCTGGGCTCCATAGCGACTTTGGAATGTTTAGAAATTCTTCGTAGATACTTGCAGGACGAGAAAAGAGTTGTTAGAGAAAGTTGTGAAGTTGCTTTGGACATTTTAGATTATGCTAATAGTGCAGAATTTCAGTATGCAAATGCTCTAAAACTGCAAGCTTGAAATTTTGAACATTTAAAATGTGAAATTATGGATTAATAAAAACAAAGTTTGCTTTAAGTACACTAAAGTAATTTTGTATTTATATTTTCTTTTTACAAACACTTGTCCCACTAAAAGTATTCTATTTCCATTATTTAATCAATTTCTTTGTAATATTATTATTATCTGATTTTAAGTATTGAAGTAATTTCAAGAAATCAAATAATTTTGAAAAAAGAGAACTAAAAATTAGTAATGTAGGTGAGCTCAAAACTATATTTTTGATCAATTTCCAAATTTATTTACGTAACCAATCATGTTCCAGTCTACATGCAATTTAATTAGAAAATCAGGAATTTAATAGTAAATTATTTCCTTAGGAATTTGATAAATTTTTACATCTAAATCAATATAGTTTATACAGTTTCTAATGTTAATCATTCAATAGATTAAAAATAATATGTTCAAAATCATTAGAATGTTTACTTTAAAAGATCTTTCAAGTAGATGAAATGTAATTTTAAGTTAAAATTAATTGTAAGGAGCTGCAGTTTGGGTTGTTATAATATACATTCAATAACACCCAGATGTAAATACACTATATTCTTGCTAATTCAGCTTTTCAGTTATCTGCATATCCCAGTATCATCACCTATGCACTTCTATTTCCATGGAAAACTAGTCATGTCACATCCTATTTTCCTGCTTATTGGGCTGCAATTTGAAAAAATTGTAGACAAATTCCCACTGTCCTCTGTCTTTTTCCTTAATCTTGAGAACGGAGTTAGATAGATGAAAGACTAGACCAGATATGGATACCTTAGGGACAGGAGGCCTCAATTAACTACTGTATATATGAACTTCCTATGCAAACCAGAAGTCATGTTATTTCAATTCAAAACTTTTCTCCTGAAAGCAGTTAACAGATGACTCCATTGCTAATGGAAAAGTATGATGTAGGACAAAACACTAGAGTACTAATTTGAGAAATTTGAGGTGGAGCATATATATTTTAAATGAAATAAATTGACAATATGGTTAAAAATTGCAGCCCGTCTTTGTGACAATGTCAATAAATAATTGCTTGTGTTTAATTTTTCTGTAGCATGCTGTATTATTTGCTCACCGGCCTCCAAAAAGAATCAGTACTGTAAGATAATGTATCACATCAATCTCTCCAATTATACAAGTAAATATATTTTAGTTTTTTCTAAAAGAAAAACTTTTTCATTTGAAGATTTTTGTTTTAATATACAATTGTAATCTGCATCAATTTTTGTTCTAAAGTCTAGATCAGTGGTTCCCAAAGTGGGTGGTGAGTAAATTTAGGTGGGCGAAATGAAGCAAGTGGGCACTGGATGCAAGGTACTGAATGGTAACCGTAGGTGAGGGTTGGAGTCACTGACCACCTATCCCTTTCTTCTGCTAACATGGATAAGATGGAACATTGCATGTAATGATTTCCAGATGTGGAGAACAATGTAAGGTAAGGACACAAATTATGTGGTTTGTAGAAAAATTTTTCTAAGAATATTTCCAAGCCTTTCTCACAGAAGAGAAAATTTTTGGATTAGAAGGCATTGTGACACAGTTGGAGGTGTTGGGTATAAGTTTATGGCTTGAAAAGTTTGGGAATCACTAGTCTAGATAACTGAATATAATCATACAAATTGTTTTTATTCAGTACTTGGAAACCAATATATTTCTGAACACTATTTTGTACTATTGTTAACATCAGTGAAATTAATTTTTTGATATTTGCTTCTCATCATAATCAAGCCACTTCAGAATTTAGGAAATACTGTAATTTGAAAACAAAAATTCATAGTGAAAGAGAAGTTTTCTTATGGATATATTTGCTCTACAAAATATCCATAAAGGAAAATTTTAATGAATACACACACTATCATAAAAAAAATTTAATAATTGTTTATTAAGTGATTTAAACCATTTCTGAAAGCTGGTATATTTGAAACAAAATACCTTTGAAATTTAATCTATACATTGGTATAAAAACAAGGTTGCATTTATACAGATATATTACAATATATATATATAATTTTATTGGTATTTATTTGTAAAAAGTTTTTTGAAGTGATTTTTATTGATATAATTGAAAGAATTTTCTGGGATTTGATCAGTAACTTGATACCAGGTTAGTTCCAATAAAAAATAATTTGCTTTAACCACAAATTGCAGTAGGATCCAGTCTATTATTCCATTGCACTAATTATTATTTTACAACTACAGAAACAAATCATTTGACAACATTTATATTTATTTTTAGAATAGGACAGTTATGATTTTGTACTCTTCTTCTTAGTTTTATTAGTGAAAAAATTTAAACAAGGTCAAAAATAATAGTTTGAATAAAATTATGACAACATTTTTGAACTTGAGATGCTTATTTTATATACTAAACTAATTGACCAAACGATATTAATGGATACAAGTTTAAAAATGTGGGTTCCAGTTTATTAAAAAAAATTAAATATTTCATATTTTTATCAGATGAAGTGATTAAATATAAATTTAAGCATTTTGACAAACAAATGGTTCATAATATACAAATTGTAAACTTTCTCACAGAAATTTTCTTCATTCTAAGATCTTAATTCAATTTTTTCTTGATATTCTGATTAGTTGAATGATAAATATTTAGTATAATAGAATATTGAAACATTCAAATAATGAAAAAATATAATTGTTTGCAGCAGCAGAACAACATTACACTTAATAAAATTTAGTGATTTTAGGATGAACAAAATGGCAGATACATACCTTTGGTCTTTTGCCACGAAGCAGTAGCAAATGTCATAGCCTTGCGTCTGACACTAAGGAACTGGATTTGAATCGAGATTGGCTTCTCAAACTCTCATGTCAAAATGTATAGCCAAATGAACAATAATAAATGAGCTTGTCTATTGTCCACAATAGGCTTTACTGAAAGACCCTTTTTAATGCCCACAGATTTGAAAAAAAAATTTACTGATTATAAATTTCAGTGTATATGACCAATCTAATGGATTCTTATATTTTCATCTAGCTTTAGTAGTTCATTACAAAAGAACTAAATAAGGAACAAAATGAATATTTGCAATAAAGTATAAAAAGATTTAAAAAAAAAGGTTAACTTCATATTTTGTATTTTTAATTATATACCATTAAATTATGAAGAAGATATCAATATATTTTAGAATATACAGTCAAACTTAACTAAAATTGAACTGTGTTTAAAAAAAAGCTTGCTTAAATATAGAAATTAAAAAATGGTATATAACTGACAAGTATGCGGTTCAAAATGTTGCCAGTCTCATTGATTACTAGTTATTGAGTTTTTAACTAGAGTATATCATGTTATAAAAAAATAATTTATCAAGTTGGTTTTGCCAATATCGGGAATGACAAGCAAGCTGTTGGTACCAGTGTTTGAGGGAGGCAATTGTCAAATAGAATAATTATCCTTTGCAATCTTGACTAGAATAAAACAAACTTTTCTCATGATGATAAAAATTTCTATATACAAGTGTATTAAGCTTAATAATAGTAATCTATGTCTGGGAAATCTAAAAACAACACTCCTATTGACTATTATATTTTTTTGTCCTGGTTGAAGATTGTTAAATAAAAACAACCATAATGTTTTTAAGTTCTTACATTACATTCATTTGTTTTCTAAATTCTTTTCTGATTGTAGTGAATTTAACACATTGACAAAAATGCATTATTGAGTTAATTATATATAAAATGACAATGTAAAACAGATATGTCTCCTATTGTAATTTATATGAAGAGTAGATAGAAATAAAAACATTTGTTCCCAATTACAGATTGAAAGCAAATTTAGAAATTATTTCAATGTTCTGTTAAACTTTGATTTCTACAAATTTGACAGAAAATATTCTCTCTTCACTGGAAAAAACAGCAAACATAACTTTCAAATAATGTATAAAATCAGCTTAAGTAGACAAAACCATAACAATTTAAACATATCCAAACTTTTCACTCCCCAAATTAAAAGAAAAAAGTTAATATTATTTTCACTCATTTCTATTTTGTTTATAAGATGATCAAAGTTGAATTTTCATCAGTATATTTTTGCCATGCCTCAACATCAGAAGTGCATACCAAGAATATGACAAACATAGTTTAATTCTGTATATAATACCTTTCTTGCATTTATTAAAATTAAATAATATTTTACTCAAAAAATGCACTAATGTATTTGTTACCTATTCTGCATTCACCACCTCATTTAAGAAGTGTAATGGTATCATCTTGTCCACATTTACACGCTTAGCATCAAGCATATGCTGATGCTAAGCTTGTAAGCCACCTCAATAACTTTGATATGCTTCACAAACCGTACATCTATTCAAGGATGTGTTTAAGGGGCGACATCCCCTCAAATTATGCACCTGATTAAATGAACTTTTAATAAGATTTCAAAGATATTAATTTTCTTTCTAAATCTTTTTCTTATATCATAATGCTATTTTGAATTGTTTTTGTATTCTGGAATTCAAATTAAATTGATAACTATTTTTGTAAACACTATTTATAATACTCTCTCTGGCTTTGGTTTTAATATGACACTGCCATAAAATTTTAAATTTTATCTTGAATCAATTGTATAAAGTATATTTAAAAATTTATTTAAAACATTTAGGAGCTTGGAATATATCATGGTGTTGTAATCAAAATCATCACGATGTACATTAAGCAAGTACATTAAGCAGTAATTTTCTGTCTTAACATTATGAAGCATTGACAATACTGTAAGTATCAATGTTTTGTTCTTGTTAAATGCAAACACATTTAACAAGAATTTCTGGGAAGAATTCAAAATTAAAACAAGACCAATTTCATATAATTATTTTCATCTAATAATATATGCTAACAAGATACTGATGAAATTATTCTATTATAGTAGAATTTATATTATGAATTATTATTCAAATACTTAAAGTTTCACTAGAATATCTCCAATAACTTAATTTTAATCCATTTAATGTTAGTTATGTTAAATGTACATTTTTATTTCTGTGTTTTTTGAATCAATTTAGATATATTTTTAAAAATTGATGTGCGTGTTATATATATACACAAACACTTTTGCTGCTAATTGACATGATTTTAAATTGTTATATCATCCCAATATGCAATAATGTGATTTTGCATCATTCAGATCCTGGAATTTTTTAGTAAATTGTGTACACATTTTCTGAATATCATTTATTACTACCTGGTAGGGTAAGAAACATTTTAGAAATTTTAATGCATGGTTTTTTACTTTTCCAGGATACACAATGGTTTTTCATCACTTTGTCCTCTGTTAGGTGCTGGTGACTCAATTTTGCATCAACACAATTCCATAAAGATTGCTGAAATAAAAACATTTTTTAATTTGTGTATAACAGTGACATACTTTATAAAAATAAATAAATAAACTGGTATATTCAGTGCAACTTTTTCCAATGGCAGCAGCAAAAGTGTTAACATTAAGTGTAAAAATAAATATAATTAACAAGGCGTGCAAAAAAAAATAATTTTTTTTATTTTAAGATATTAGTCTACATATGGCAAAAAGATTTGTGCTTTTTTATATTTCACAGAATTATTTAAAAAAAGCAAAATAATTCTCTACTGCAAATTAATACGTTTTAATACAGTAAAATTAATAATGAATACAAATGAATTATATATTTAATCTAAACCATAATCTCTAAGTACCTAAACAAGTACAGTACATGAACTATCTGTCAATATAATTCTATTTGATTACTTTGTCTTATTCATGTTCATGATTCTTACAATTTCAACTAAAATGCAAAGCTTTCTCATTAATTCATCTTTCCACAGATATTGAAAGACAAAATATTAACTGCAAATTATTGACTAGATCACTTTAATAAAATATATATAAGTACTTCATTGGCTTTGTAAGTTAGACATATAAAACTAGTTCATGTTGCAATATTAAATATTTCTATATAAATTTGGGTTAATGTTTTTGATTTCTAATAATTAAAATTATCTAATATGAAGTTTTTTGGACAACATTTTATAAATTTTAAGTTCAAACAAATTGTAATTTACATATCTATTTCATAAATCTTATTTATATAATTAACCTTACAATTTAATATTAACAGTTAAAATTTTTTGTTTGCAAGTTTTTTACTCTGTATGAAAACTGAAGTTTTCAACTAAATATTTTGTTACATATAAATGCTATATTCTTATTTCCAAATCAATAAATTTTTAAATAACAATGATTTTTAGACTAGAAATTCTAATGGCACAGTTTTATTTCATTCAAGAAATTAGGCAGTTTCATAATCTAATGATTCAGTTTTTAATGTTTAATGATCAAGAATTCTCAAATTTCCAGAAACTATCTTGTTTTCTAGTATTGCACCTGGAGGGATGTCAATTCTATCTCCATGATTGGCAATAATAATAACAGTACCCTATAGAAAGAAAAAATAAATAAATATATATATATATATATTATATTCATTACTAAATTTTAAACAGTATAATTATTAATACAAAATTGTATAATAGACTGTAGGTTCTCTCTAAAATACTGCAGTTAAATGAATTTTTAAATTTTCTAACAACTAAAAAATAAAACTATATTGTTACAAGTTCTTTTACACTCCTCAAAAGTGAAATTGCACATAGCTATGTGCAAATTGCAGGACTGGTAGAGGTAACTGATATATACAAATGATTAAAAAGCAAACAAAGATATGCAACAGACACCTGTTTATTTGGTAACAAATATGGCTCCCATTGGCAGCTATAGGCTGCTATAAGGCAAGGCATACTATCAATGATACAATTAATGGTTGCCTGAGGCATCCCTTAACAAGCTACGTTCACTGCACAGGTCGTCTACAGTATGTGGTGGTGGTCCCTGGTGTACCTTTCATCAGATGAGGTCCCATAGATGTTCAATGGGAGAGAGATCCAGAGAGGGCCAGGAAAGGATGTGAATTCCATTTAGCTGGTGAGTTTGCCATGCAATGTGCAGTTGGGTATTGTCTTGCTGGAATACTGTGTCAAGTGCAGTCTACATCAGTGACGGAACCACAGGCCCCACAATTCATGTGACACACTGATCTGCTGTCAAAGTACTGAAAATGTGCATCAAGGCTGTCTGCTGATCAAACATGATGCCTCCCCAAACCATAATGCCCAGTGAGATGTTTAGTGAAAAGGGCTTGAATGTAACCTGGGATATCACAATCTAAATTTATGAATTCATGTACGTACAGTACATACTTGTAAATGTACATGTTTACAATTTGGCGATGGTTACAGTACATCGCAGACTATTTGTGAATGTGGTTTGCTCTAAGACATTATAAAATAAGATGATTTTGTAAGGTTAAATAACAAATACTGTTATTAAAATTATTTTGTGACAGTAGAAAAACTAATTTATGTTAAATTTACCAATATCGAATGGTGCTGACAATGACACCAAACAGTAGATATTGGAACTACTGTGGAAAATGCCAACATTGAGCTCTTAAAGACCACTAAATAAGATGACAACACAAAGACACAGATGTTTTCATATTTCATTCTCTAGGATTTATAATGATTACATTAACATTTACTGTAAATGTATGTATTTTAATATGATTTTTATGTGCTTTTAACACTTTTCTAGTGATATCACGACTTCAATATTTCTGGGGGACAGACGTAGTCGAATAAAATGACTTAAACTTGATTTTTATTTTTCCATATATTTTTTTTGACAAACAACGTACAATCAAGAATGACTTAACTCAAAATGACATAACCCGAGGTATACCTGTATTATATAAAATGCTACAAGTGTGTGTTTTTGTGAGTACTGTGGTTTACAAATATGCCTGGAATACCAATAATAAATTGTACTTAAAACTAGAAGTTAACAATAAAAATATCTACAATCTATTCAACTAGAGAAAAATGGAATAATTTAGCCTGAAAGTTTATATGAAACAGTATGTTAATACTGAAGATAGTTTTCTTGTAAAAGGAAGAGAAACATTTAATAACATTATATTTAAAAACAATAAGTAAATTATACAAAATGAAATTCTACAATAAAAATTTACCTTTAAAGAAACTCCTTTTCCAAATGTTACATCTCCAGAAACAGTTAAATGATCTAATTCCAACATATCTGGGATACTGGCAAATCGTCTCAAGAATTCTCTTACCTACAAATATATCATAAAATATATACCCAAAAAATTTTGTTTATTTATGTTTTAAAATTAATGAAATAAGATTTTTACTGATATCATCAACATTTTTGTATGAAAATGAAAATTGTTTAACAACAGTGAAATAACAAAAGATTGTTTTCTCAAAACACTATCAGATAAGTAAGGAAAAATTGCTATTGTAAAGAAATATAAATGAAAGATTATCCAGGAATCAAATGAATTAAATATTGTCTAGGATAGTGTTATCTAAAAAATAGATTAAACTATATGAGTTTTCAATTTTAAAAATGGCAAACTTTGAAAATTAGTAAAGTTGTCATTGATTTTTTTTAATATTGATATTAATTACAATGTTGAAAATTAGGATATATTGAAAGATGAAAATCTCAGAAAGTAATACGCTAAGATAAATTACAATATTCTTCTAAATATCACTTTTGGTAGCTGTTATTATGCTCTATGTATGTATGTCTCTTTAATCCGACATTAAGTTCGGTAGACTATCATTACAGCTTTCAGGTTAGACACTTCTTTTATTGTTTCCACATATGCATTTCGGACTTATATAAATGTTAAGTCCCTCTTCAGTGCAATACTATGGTTCTATCTTATATACACCATGGTTTTAGAAGACAACCATAGTATTGCACTGAAGAGGGACTTAACCTTTATATAAGTCCAAAATGCATATGTGGAAACAATAAAAGAAGGGTGAAAACAATAAAAGAATATACATTGGCAAAATAGGAAGGCAACTCAGTACCAGAATAAAAGAACATAAAGCAGCAATTAGACTTAATTATAACCAATCACCATGGACAAATCACTAAGGAATTTGGATACACAATCAATGAAAAAAGTGTAAAAATAATCCATAAAGAAAAAGACAGTTATCTACGAAAATTCAAAGAGCACTTCGAAATTGTTAATAAAAGCAAAACCATAAACCTAAATGATGGAATGGAGGTTGACAACGTGTAGGAGGAAATGGGAGGAGCTAAAGGGAAAGAAAACAAAAAGAGGGGAAAAATACCTTAGGGGACACAACTTCAACACTGGGCAGATGTAGGTCTAAACTTAAAACAGGTTAGTTAACTATTGTATAAATATATCCAAATAACTATTGTTGTAATTTACCGTAATAACAAATGTAATAATTGAATTTACCAATATATAGAAATGTAAAAAACCTGAAGAGGGATGCAAGTGATACGAAAATATTGCACCCGAAATGCATAGTAAATAAGTAAATAAAAAATACGAAGATAAACTTTTGTCTCTGATTAAATGCAGTCCAGGCAAAAAAAACAGTGGTTATTTCTGTAGAATTAACCCATGAAGTTTCATCAATTTTTGAGGAAATATTTTTTTGAAAAATTGATTTTTAAAAGGAATATAAAGAAAACTGCACCATTGATATATAAATATGTATTACTTATAGCGAATAAAAGAAGTGTCTAACCTGAAAGTTTTAATGATAGTCTACCGAACTTAATGTCGGATTAAAGAGACATACATACATAAATTACAATAGACTATTGAAAATATGCAGCAGCAATGGAAGAGAAGTTAATGATTATTTTTAATAAGATACTACAGAATAGCAATTACGAGGGTCATCCCAGAAGTACCTGACCTGACATAGATGGCGGTACTTGTTTGAGAAAAAAACGACTGTGTTCGAAAGTATTAACCTTATAAAGCTTAAGTTTGAAGTTTGAAGACGTTACGTTGTATAGTATTTTTTTGGCAGCCATAAATAATGAACAATCTCAGTGAATTTGTAAACTTGGAAAAAATTTGTCATTGTTATGTGATACAATACTTTCATTTGAAAGGTTTCAGTCCAACCAATATTAAAGCTGAGCTAGATTCTACTCTGGGGGAGTCTGCTCCCTCGTTTACAACAATAAAATATTGGGTGGCAGAGTTTAAACGAGACCGTACGAGCTGCCAAGACGAACATCATAGTGGTCGACCAAGTGAGGTGACCATGCCAGAAGAGGTGGAAAAAAATCCACAAAATGGTATTGGATGACAGTCGACTCAAAGTGTAAGCAGACATGGTAGGCATTTCAAAAAGTGCTGTACATCGCATTTTAACTGAAAATTTGGACATGAGAAAGCTGTGTGCAAGATGGGTGCCGCGTTTGCTCACAATGGGACAAAAACAGCGTCGTGAGGATGTTTGAATCGAGTCTTTGGCAATGTTTCGCAGCAACAAAGCCAAGTTTTTGCGTCGATTCATAACCATGGATGAAACGAAGGTCCATCACTTCACACCTGAGACGAAAGAACAGTCAAAACAATGGACTGAAAGGGGAGAATCAGCTCCAAAGAAGGCGAAAACAGTTCCATCTGCTGGCAAGGTCATGGCGTCAGTTTTTTGGGATGCGCCCAGGAAAAACAATCAACAGCAAGTATTATGTGAACTTATTGCAGTGCTTGAGTGATGAAATCAAGAAAAATGGCCACATTTGGCAAAAAAGTAAGTGTTGTTTCATCAAGACAATGCACCAGTTCACACATCCATTATTGCAATGGCCAAAATCAATGAGTTAAGGTTCAAATTGCTTCCTCACGCACCCTATTTGCCAGATTTAGCACCCTCGGATTGTTCTCTCTTTCCAAACTTAAAAAAATGGCTTGGTGATAAAAGATTTGCCAACAATAAAGAGGTGGAGTCTGCGGTTAATGGCTATTTTGAGAAGCTCGACAGTTCTCACTATAAACAGGGGATCGAAGCTACTGTACAGCTGGAAAAAGTGTATCAAGCTAAAAGGAGACTATGTTGAAAAATAAAGATATGTTTTACCAAATTTTTTGTGTCTTCTTTGTTAGGTTGGGTACTTCTGGGACTACCCTCGTATCTAGGATTATCAATTCTGAATTACTGCTCTTTCTTAATTCACAACTCATCTTTTTTCTCTTAATATTTCCTCTATTTCATTCTGTGATCTAAATTTAACATAGTTCCACTTAGAATTATGATATACTTAAGTCAGGTAACTGTTTAGACACCATTTTTTAAGCACCAACTACTGCATCAGAGTTTATTGTAAGCCATTTTCTGTATCTTCTCATTGAAAATCTAATAATATCACACACTACAAATTAACTACTTTTAGGGTTTGATAAAGCAGACTTTTATCCATTCTTCATTATTAGTGCTTAGAATAGATAGCATCACTCCAAAATTGTTTTCCCCCAGTAATGTCATTTCTGGCTTAATGTAAAATTACATACTAAAGCTCTCATATCAGCATTACATGAAATGCTTGCTACAGCAAAACTTCTGTTATCATAGGCAAATTTTCTACCAGCATTTTAAGACTTTCACACTCAGTATTGAAGCAATTTTAGGTGACAAGAATAAACATTTAAAAAACTGCAAAATTCAACAAAAAATATTTCATATAATCAAATAAAACATACAAATACAAAACAGTCTTAGAAATTAAATAAGAATCTTTATACGTGCATTCAAATGTAGTAAATGAAATACTACTATAATTAAATATTTCACATACACATACAAACATTAACCTTAATTTAACACCAGCACACTTTAATACAACTTTGACAAATGTTTTCAATCTAATAATAGGTCTGCTTAAATATTTCACTGGAAAACTATGAAACCAAACAATAAAATATCTCAAAACTGCTTCTCATAATTCCAGATAGTAATAAACATATGAAAAATAATGTGCACACCATTTATTAAAAAATTTCAGCATATAGATGATACAAAATTGCATCATTTGCACATTGTAACAAAGATCACTTGAAGCAAAAATTACATCAACTAGCAGCAAATGTGTTAATACTATAATATGTTAATTTCTATTGAGAAATAAATACAATTTTAAGATATTAACTTACTTTTGAAAAATGATTATCACCTAATTTAACTAGAGGAACAGTAGGAAATGCACGCAAAGAATTCATTGTCAATGAACCATAACTCATATGATATAAATTACTCATTACTAACAGAAGATCAGAAGTTTTTTTAACTGGAAGAAAACGACTTCTTGGAACATTTATACCTGAAATATAAAAAGATTAATTATTTTAATTATTAAACTTACTATTAAACTGCTTATTTCAATTTTTAAATATGAAGTATTGTGCATACTGTAATTCAGACTAATAAAATATTTTATATTTTTTAAAACGTTTTACTAAAATGAACAATGCTGTTATATAAAATCAGTAACAAATACATTTCTGGGATTGCTACTTTATCTTCAGTAAAAAAAATAGTACAAATAATCTACATAAACTAATTTTTAATGTTTTGAATATTTAGAACAATAAAAACTATTAATTCCTTATCCTGTCTTAAAATAAATACAAGCTACTGTAATAAAATATCAAGACTTGACTATGATTAAGAATTATTATGAATTATTATATATAAATTTCTTAACTGTAAAAATAAAAACCAATAATAATTAATACATAAAACAAAATCTTTATATTATTGTAAGATTAGACTTTTCAGGAAAGTATCAGAGTTAAAATATATCAAAAACATTTTATTTTTATTATTATAAATAAATTACAATTCTGGCATTAAAAATAATGTATCATCATCTTATAACAATAAACAGAAATTATAAAATTGTTCAAAATTAAAGATACCTTATTCTTCATAATACTAATCAGGAACATAGTTGTAACCATAGATCCTGACATCATAGCATAGCATATACATGAAATGTAGTAAAATAATGCAATAATGGATAAATATCTTGAACATGATACAAATCCTCATTTCAGAATATAGCAATAAAATAAAATAGTTTTCAGACTGATTATTTTTCTACTTTAAAAAAAGTAGAAAAATTACAGACAATATGACTTTAAAACATAGGTTATGGCAGGGGTGGCCAACAGTTTTTGCCCCTGGGTTAAATTGGAAAGAAAACTTTTTTCACAGGCCAAACTAGAGGCTGCCCTAGGAAGATTTTGAGGTGGTGCGAGATCTCATTGTGGTGTCTGTCACCCCATAGAGACTAAATTGTACATGGAGATTACAGATACATTTTTTACATTATCATGCATTATCAACATTTTACACAGTACTTAAGAGATTTTTAATGGAGCATTAACTCTAAACATACAGTGAGTTGTTGACCTCTTTTTTTCTTTAGGCATCAGAATTTTACATCGAGCTATTCGGACTTGAGTAGCTAATATTGAAAAATTAATCGCGGACTGCATAAATTCATTAGATGGGCCGTATGTTGGCCATGCCTGGGTTAGGATCTTTTTCATAAATGCTATTACTTTAAACTAACTGCAAAGTAAAAGACAATGTTAGGCAAAATTTTTAGAAAGTTTCCATTTTCAACTCACATAATTAGAATGGTTTCTCAAAAATAAGTGCATCAGTTACTTCCCAAATGAATAGTATTTAAAATATAATTAACATAAAAAACTAATCATTAAAAAATAATAATAGCTACATAAACACTAGAAGTGAATTATAAAACATTTTTGTTTGAAAGTTCAAACAATTTTTTATTTTAAATATCTGAAAGAGAAAAGTTAATTTTATAACATTCTATTTAATAAATATTTTGATTCTTCTGTGATTCAAAAATAATTGTTTGTTATATTTAAAATTAATAAGATGTAATTTATACAGGTTTTATTAAAATAAGTTGTTTCTAGTAAAGGAAATGTGTGTGTATACATACTACACCCACACACACTTCTTCATTAGAGATAATTCATACAAAGAGATATACATAATTACCAATGGCTCCTTCAAAATCTTTCATAGCTGAACCAGCTGCTCTTTCCAATTGAACAACATTTAAGCCATGCTCTAAATGCTGAATAAATAAAATAAAAATTTATTACCTTAGAATTGATTTGCAATAAATTATTAAATAAAAATTCCATACAATAATTTAATTAACAATACTTTAAAATTATTAAATTTTTAATAAATTTTTTATAAATCTATATCTGTAGAATTCATAAATTAATTAACCTTGCTTACAATTAAAAAGGTGATTTATAACTGGAAAAATAATTATTACTGAAATTTTACTTAGACATGGCCTAATTATTAATTTTCTAATAGTTTTAAAAATAATAGATTTTTTTTTAATATTCAGCCAATATTAAGATAGATTATTTTCAGAAAATAAAAATAATTGCCAAAATAACTGCTGAATTTATCCAGACTTTAATGCTTACAAGTTATAACAACAATAGTTGCTAATTTAGTGATATTTTATGGTACATTTCCCAAATAGAATTTTCCTGACCACTGATTTCATTTTATATTGTATATGCATATATTTATATACAGCAGACCCCCCCTATAACGCAGGTTCATATAATGCGGATTCATATATCGCAGCAAAAAAATTGCAACCGTATTCATATAAAGATGCTAAAAGTGACTCGTAAAATGCGGTAAAACTTCATTGCTGACTCATATCGTGACAGGATTGGTCGAATCTGGACCAATAGTGGATGAGCAGCCGAACTACTTACACGCTACGGAGAGTTTAGGCGGGTAAGTTGAGTTTACTATTGTCTGTACAGTATACAAATTAGGTACTGTAAGTCTAATACAGTACTGTAATTTTATACATCTCTTGTGAAAAAACATTTCTTATTCAACAGCCATAAAAATTATTTCTATTAATGATGTCTCCAAAGTTTAATAAATTTTTTGCAGAAAAATAACTCATCAGAAAATGCCCCCGCCATTTGGTGTGCTGCTCCGCGACGAAAACAAACTTAAGCAATGGCATCGTCAAATGGCGCACACTCGGTAAGTAATCTTACAATTTTTTGTTTATAGCATAGTTTATACAGATTATTCCCAAAAAATTATACATGTTTAGGAATCTATTAATTTTATGGAAGAAAACTTTTCAAACAGCCATAGTCCGTAAACTCCACAAGTGCCGGGCTGTAATTGGCTCATGTATTTAAGGATTCCTACAATGCAAAATTCTTATAAAGCGGAACGTATCTACCGCGTTATGGGGGGGGTCGACTGTATTATATATACACATTTCATTCAATAAATATTAGAAACTTGCTCTGAAACAAATTAAACTAAAAAGTAAAGTATATTTATTTTGTGGATTAAACTAATATGCAAACCAGAACAATGATATTTTTGCAGCAGAAATAAAACTAACTCTTATGAACTTACATATCTCATATTTAACCCAATTTATTTTATACTGAAATGTAATTTTATATTAATATAGATTTAGTTATGCTAAACCATCAACTCAAAACTTAGTGTTTCTTAATGATTCAAATATAAATTTCTCAATGTTCAACAAACAGTGCTCTTAACAATCTAAAAAGTGTTTTATTCAAAATCAAATACCTTATGATTGACTATTATCTCCATATCAAGTCTCCCTTCTTTCACTAATGTTGATATGCTTTGCAAATTTATCCATAGATTATTTGTATTAAAAATTCTGTAAATATATATATATTTAATTTGTTTTGGTTATATGTTATCAGATAAATATTATGTGTTAATAAACAAAACTTCAAAAACTGGTTATACTTAATAAAAATTAGCAAAATAAACAAATATCCAGCACAAAAATGTAAGACAGCCAATGTTTTCAACTGCGTTAAACAGGCATTTTCAAGCTAACTGGCCACTGCAGCTGTTAAAACAAGAACTGCCATACATATGTTAACAGGGGTGATGTCAGAAAGGGGAAGAGGTATGTAAGATTACAGCTTGTAGATTAACTTCCATGCAATCACAAAAATTTATAATGGCATTTATTCTGGAAGCCTTGTATATCTCCAACTGCCTTATATATACAAGGTCACCAGAAAAAATTCCACTATAAATTTTCATGATGTAGAATCCTTCCCTTTGCATGGAAGTTGATTTACAAGCTGTAATCTTACACTCCTCTTCCTCATCACCCTTCTTAACATGTGTATGGCATTCACTATTGTTTTAAAAGGCTGTCAATATGACAGAAGCAAGCATAAAATTTTAGGTTCTCTTTAGATAACAGTGACATATTCTTATTGGAAACAACATGCCACTATAAAATATTTGAGACATGCAAAAGTTTTAAATTGAATGCTGACTTTATCAGACGAGCATTTATTTTTTTATTATTAACCTTTCAGTAGTGGGATAGTCGGGTATGGTGTTACCCCAAAGTAGTGGAGAATAAATGTGGAAAATTTTTAAAGTATTTTTCCACATGTTTTTTCTCATCACTGTTTTGGAAAAAGATTTTGTAAACAGTTATGTCTAGTAAAGAAAAATCTCTTTTTTTTGCAGTAGTTTTTGGCGATAATCCCAAAAGAAATTAATGAATATATCCATCCCTCACCACTGCCACATGATCACCCTGGACGGATATATCTGTCCTTCACTGTTGAATGGTTAATTTTTGATATTTCAACTTTTATCAAGATGCATACATATACAAGATAGGTAACTGCACAGCGCAGTTGCGTGGTCGGCGAGATACACAGTGCACATGTCCAAACTTGTATATTATATAGTTGTCAAAATTCCCCCCTTTGGGGGAGAGGGACAAAATTAAGGCTTATCGTGAAGAACTTGGCTTCTATTATACTATTTTAGATGCAGTTTTTTTGTGGTTTTGATTGCTAGTAGTTATTAAATTTACCAAGGCATAGCACCTTATGCACCCTCCGAGCCAAATTTATTGAGATTTATTAGCAGTTAATAGAATTATGTAAAGATGGTGGAAATATTCCATGTTGCCAGAGAGCAAAAATGTTTAAGGTGACCACTGGTTGGAAAGGTAATGTTGATAGCTTTCTGGGATTGCCAAGACATACTGCTTACTGCATTCCAGCCTCATGGAGAGACTAACAATCAAATCCTATACCAACATTCTCAAAAAAACTGTGCTGTCATTTGATGAAAGCAACCAAGACTCCTTACAAAAGTCATGTTGCTGCTGCATGACAACATGCATCCTCATATTGCCATTAGGACTACAGACTCAGAGAATTGGAATGGGAAGTCCTAGAACATCCCTCTATAGTCCTGACCTTGCTTCTAGTGATATTTCTATTTGTTTGGCTTCCTTAAACATCATCTTTCAGGCAAATGCTTTCCCCAATGATGACACTAAAGAGGGAACTCACTACTTGGCTCTGACAGCAACCAAATGAATTCTACACTGCAAGCTTTCAGATACTCATAAAAAAAAGGGATAAGTGCCTAAATGTGAGTAGGATAATGCTGAAAAATAATTGTTTTCATAGCAATAATGAATTTAGTTTTATTTCCCTCAATCTGTAATTTAATTAATGGCTCTACCATATAATAATACATGAAATCAATAATAAGATAGAAGTAAAATCTTAAATAAGGAATTTAAAAAGACCAAAAGCTAATGATTACAGTAAAAATATCATTAATAATTGGTTAAAAACAGTCAAAATGCTAAACCGAAAAATGAAAATACCAAAGTTATGAAATTTGTTAAAATGACTTAGGTATCTGGTTTATTTGAAAAAAACAGTAAGCAAAGTTAGGGAAAGTGACCTTCTACTAGTACTGGAACAACATAACCATTTATCCAGGAAATTAAAAATAAAGAAAATATACCACAAACTGGAATATTGAACAAAAGCAATATTGTTTACAATGCACAGTACCCCACATTTATATAGATGAAACCAGGAGAAACTCCAAACAAGATTCACAGAGTACATCTGTGTAATAAAATATAATAATGATGCTAAATCCACAGTTGATAAACACTACAACCAAAATGGATACAAAATAATAAAAGTTAATACTAAACTCCAGAAACACAAAGAAAATATGTTTAAAGATAGTTAAATATTTGAACACTTAGAAATTATAAAAATAAAAAATAACAAATGAATAAATGAAAACACAGGTCTACAGCTACATGAATCTTGGAAGTCTTCACCACCTTTAAACACTCAGCGTATAGCCTCAATTTAGTGCCGAGCAATTTGAACCTCTTTCCTGAACTGAAAACGTGGCTAGGAAGGCAGAGGTTTGAGACCAATAACAATCTTCAAAACAACATTAGGGCCCATCTCAAGTCATTAGCAGCAACATTCTATGAAGAGGGGGTTTTAAAACTCATCAACAGATAATCATCATGAAGATTGAGGCATTTGTCTATGTCGAAAAGTACCATGTTTGTACCTAACTTTTGGTAATAGATTCATTACATTTGTCTTTGTTTTAGGGACCACGAAAGTTGAAAAAGAAACAGCCCCTGTAATAAAATTTTAAACAGCATCAGTTTATTTTTTATAGTATATCTTTTCTATTTTATATTCTCTTGCAACTAGTATTTTATTTCATTTTTTTTATAGTATATTTACATTGCAAGATAAATTATTTAAATTATTGATAAATTGAATATATTATTTCATATAACAAGCTGATTTACTTTATTTCTCTGTTTTTTTAATTTGTAAATCAGTTTCCAAAAAAGAATAATGGATTCACTAATAGTCTAATAGTTTTTCATTGAGTACTACACATTATATAAAAAAATAACTATGAAAGAAAAGTAAAACAATGAAGAGAATGTCAATTAGAATATGTCTGCATATGACTAATATTTTAAGATTGGTATAATAAATCATTTGAAAATGGTCTATGACATACAACTATAAATTTTGCTAAAGGTTTAAAATTTACAATAAAGGTTACTTTTGGTTAATGTTTTTGCAATTATCAGAATAATTTTAATGCATTAAATAATTAATAATAAATAATAATGGCAAATATAATATAAAGAAATCATATTTGATTCTAAAAACATTTTTATAATCAAATATTTTTTTAATACTATATTAAGCATCATTTATTGTTAAATTATTAATTATAAATTAACTGATGTTTATGAAAATATTGATTTAACCAAAAACGATCTTTATGAATTGTTGACATGTTAAATTGCCTTTGGTTCAAATTGACTTCAATGTGACATGGCATTGAATCCACAAAAATAGTGAAAAGTGAAATAAGTGAATATCAATCTATTCCTACAAGAAGCTATTTTCATTTCTGAAAAGATATTGTTGAACATTGAAGTTTATCCTAGAGATCCTAAATTGGATTAAGATTTGGAGATAATGTTAAGGAAGCAAGAAAAAGGTTTAAAATACTCAAGTTATCATTCTTTGATATGTCTGACTTAGTGATTAGATGATTAGATATTTTCAGGCTGACAGTGCATTTTTCATTGAAATAGACATGAAGTACTGCTGTGTTACTTTATTAGAAAATAATGTTCAGGTATGCTTTAAATTTCAATGAATTATCTAATTATATTCAGAGGCCAGTTATATTTATGATAGAATGCCACATATCACTATTCTACTTCCATTAATCTTCACTCTCAATATACAACATAAAACAAAGGAAACCAAAAGCACTAATATATATATATATATATGTTTAGTAAACCAAACAATTGCCATAATTAATTTCTCTATTATTGATGAAATAAAATAAGCCATGCTAAGGCCACATGCCTTTACTGAAAGTGTGACATTATTCATTTTAAAATAATAGTGTAAGTACAGTTTTTCATATCTAGACTGTAAAAAATTTATAAACTGAAATAAAATCACTATATGGAAACTTTTAGTTTGTTACTGACAGATATTGTAAGCAATATCAAAAGATTTTATCATCAGATCAAAAAGCATTTTATAATGATATAATTATGGACATAAATGTTATAATTCAATTTAAATAAAACATAAAAATCAATTTCAAAATTATAATACTTTATTATATAATTTATAATTAATAAAAACAATACATACTTGAATTTTTTTACACTTTTAAACTCATCTACCTAAAAATATAAAAATTAAGACTTTTGTATTATACTTCTTTGGATACTGCACTTGTATTAAATAACCAAATCATGATAGAAATCTTTAAAATGCAGGGGTATTTATATAATAAGATAAATATAATTTAAATATTATATTTGTCAGAAACACATTTATGTTCCATTCATTTGAAACAAAATTTGTAATTCAAATCATCATTTCAGCCTGAAGAAGGTCAATAAAAAAAAAAGGAGACAAAAACATTTGAAAATTAAAAATATGACTGCATTTTAAGGTTTCTATGTGGTATGCTTATTTTATATTATAATTATTTGTTCAATATATACTGTATATATAAGCATACATATTTTAATAATAATTTATATTACTTACATGATCTTTTGGTACTTGTGCTATTTCAAGTAACCTTAATTTTCTTTCATAATTTATGAGAGTACCTCCCTGTAATGTACAAAAATATTTTTCAAATAGCACTTTTCACAATAATAAAAAGTGTATTTAAAATAATACATTTATTATACTAAAATATGATGATAAATAATAATCTACCTAAAATCTACAGCAGCAATTTTTCAATGAGTAAAAAGACTTGTAATTTTCCCAAATTCACATTGTTTTCTTGGTAAATTAGCAGTGAAATGACAATTTGCAAAAGCATTTAATAATTAAAAAATAAAGACATCTCCAATTTATGAGTAACTATGGTTATGATGACTAAACATAGCACATTAAAAAAAATTATTTGAGTCAAATTTGTTACACTTACTAATCACCCATAGAAGAATTAAATGTAAAATGTAATGTTATATAGTGTTTGTTTAATTCAATTTTTTTGCTAAAATATGAAAAAAAAATTCATCAAAACGTTTAAATGTCAAAATTAGATTAAATTTTTTACTTTTCTAGCTGCCAATCAAGTGCTAATCTAAAAATAATTGAACTTTAACTATGCTTTATTAACAAAGAAAAGTTTAAAAAAAATTAATACATTTTATTTTAAACTTCAATTTAGTAATTTTAAAACATTTAGCAATAATGAACAATCACACATTAGATGAATATAGGTATGCCATATCAATATGTAAGTTATATACAGTAGAGCATCGATTTTCCGAATCAATTGGGGACTGGGGTTGTCCGGATAACTGATATTTCGAATAACTGATTTACCTACGAAAAAATAGTTTAACATATCCGATGTCAAAATTTTTCTCCGTTGCGTGTCACTTCACGTTGAATTTTCGTCGATGTTAAGCCTAACAAAGACTATTGTATCGTTAAAAATTATTTTTTTATTTTGTACAAACAAAATAAATATATTAAAAAATATAAAAATAATAAAAAATTATACTTCAGATGTTAATTTAGTATCAAAAACGTAAAATATTTGAGTAGCCCAAGACGTAGCCAAAGGTTGAAGCGCCATAGAACTGGCGAAAATTTAAATTTGCCGACTGGAATTCTTTTGGATGATTGACTTTCAGAAAATCGACGCTCTACTGTATTAGAAATAAATTAATTTTTAGATTTGACTGTAAACATCAAATAGTAAATTTTAGTTTTCAATGTTCTCACGTCTAAATTTAACATTATATATCAACTTTTATTTAGAATGTCAAGTCTAAGTCTTCTACAATATTCAGTTTAACTATTATGTGCTAATTTAATTGAAGCTCCCTGTCCTTTAAATATTGTGTTTCTAAATCATATAGTACATGATAATTCAAGGATTTATCATATACTTCCTGTATGATAAATCCTTGAATTATCATGTATTATATTATGTGCTACTATCTAAGTAGGTTAATTTTAAAATCAAGAAACATTGAATATCACAGATATTATTTTTTCCAATATTTTTTGACAGTTCTGTATCATTAAAATTTTTATCATACAAAGAACATATTTCCAACTAGTTACATATTTCATATCTAAAACAAAGTAACAAAATATTCAACTAGTTCTTTATTAATCAAAATATTAATCAACACCTTCTCAGCTAACTTTTCTACAATAATAGGAGATTATTAAAATAACAGAATAATGATTATATCAATTAATCCAATATTGGTAACGACTTTGAAACTTAAATATAAGAAATAATAATACATTGGCAATAGAGTTAACAAAACATTTTTCTTACTTTTACATCTGCATTTGTTTTGTCAGTTACTTCCATCAGAAATTCCGGATGTGGTTCTTTTGTAGGATTTAACAAAAAGTTTAATATATCTATTAATTTATTAAGAAATTTTTTATCTTATCTATTGATGTCTTATATGCTAAAAATTTGATTATATAAGTGATGTAGATGATTCATTTCCAAAACACACATTTTTAGTGTAAATAACACATCTCATGCCATCTGCCATTAATATAACAATATTTAAAATCACTAATAGTTTAAATGCTAAAAAGGACCCCATAAAATCCTTATGGGTTTTGGTCTCAAGAAATTGGCCAAAATTTTAGTGTTATGATTCTTGAATAACTAATGGAAAGTCAATAGGCACAAAGCTTGAAAATGGCTAATTCTCTTCTACAGCTGTTTGAATATATTGAGGTATATATACAGGGTGGTAACAAAGGTCTACCAATTACAGTCGACCCCCTATAACGCAGTAGATACATTCCACTTTATAAGAATTTCACATTGTAGGAATCCTTAAATACATGAGCCAATCACAGCCCGGTACGTATGCAGTTTACAGACTATGGCTGTTTGAAAGATTTTTTTGCATAAAATTCATTGATTCTAGACTAATCTGACTCAACATTTCCAAAACACATATAATTTTTTGGGAATAATCCATATAAACTATGATATAAACAAAAAATTGTAGGATTACTTACCGAGTGTGCACTGTTTGACCACACCATTGCTTAAGCTTGTTTTCGTCACAGAGCAGCGCACCAAACGGCGGGCATGTTTTCTGATAAGTTATCTTTCTGCGAAAAATTCGTTGAACTTTGGAGACATCATTAATAGAAATAATTTTTATGATCGTTGAATAAGAAATGTTTTTTTCACAAGAAATGTATAAAATTACAGTACTGTAATTACACTTAGATTACAATTAGATTACATTGTAATTACAATTAGACTTACAGTACCTAATTTGTATACTGTACAGATGATAGTAAACTCAACTTACTAGCCTAAACTCTCCGTAGCGTGTAAGTAGTTCGGTCCAGATTTGACCAATCCTATCGCAACACGAGTCGGCAATGATGTTTTACTGCATTTTACGAGTCTCTGTTAGTGTCTTTATATGAATATGGTTGAAATTTTTTTGCCGTGATATACGAATCTGCATTATATGAACCCATGTCATAGGGGTCTACTGTATTTTAAACAATAATAGAGCAATCACTGTAGATGGAAAAAACTAAGTACTATTATCTTTTAATATATTCCAAAATATAGAGAAGGGACACAGACTTAAATATGACAGGAAAATTCTTCACTTTAAAATACACAGTAGTAGTTTGAGGACCCAACCGATGTCCAAAATCATGTAAATTGCGGTGTTCTTATGATTGAATAATAACGATAGATTATATATGAGAGGGAGAGGAAAATCCCATAACTTAAACAATACGGCACAAAATGTAGACAATGAGTCTCGGATGACTCCAACACATGTTAAACGAACTGTCAATATCAGAATGAAAAGTTATAAGTCAGAGACAAGTGGTCATATGCAGGTAGAACTTTGACCCCAGCGCTCATAAACAATTAATCTAGGGAAACAATTTCGGAAAAGAGGGAAAGATTTAAGAGAGATAAATCATTGCATATGATCATTCAAGTACCCAGATGACAGAAATCGCGAGTAACGGAGCTAAATTATGAGCACGAGTCTTGTAATTTTGTCAACAATCCCCAAGAACAATCGACAGAACGGCGTTGAGCAGACACCTGGAATCAGACTTTTCCCGTGACCTGAGTCGGTCTCAGTTTTCCCCAAAACAAGAGAGACCAATTGAGAAGCGAAGAAGGAGACGAGGGGCCAATCAGAAGTCCGAATAGTGGGAGTAAAAACTATAAAAATCTGAAATTTAAGGTCAGAGAAGGGTCTCCTCCGTAGTCCACAAAAGGTCATGATTTAAATTGTGGTGTGTTGCCACCAAAAACTTTGGACTCCACCGCTTCCTCCTTCCGACTGTCCACCTTGCTCAGTGACCTCATCTCGTCTGCCCTGAGGCCAGACAGACGCCGAAGTTCTCGCCTCTCCGTATCTTCGACGAGAAGAACCCTAGCAAAGGATTGTCAATTGTCAATGTAAGCATAAATGTTAACAAATAAACGGCTTTCTTGTGTAAAACACTTGTCATCATTTGCCTCCTCCGTCACAGCCCACATACAACCTTCCCTTAGGTTCATCCTGACGCGGGACTAATAGATCCCATCTATGAGACAGCAGTACCTTACACAGGTGCCGTGAAGTGGGAACAGCCCCTTTTCTCCACTGGGTTGGCTACCTTACAGTAGCAGCACATTGTTGAATAATATAATTGAGATGCAGAAGTGATTGACTGTACAGTTAAGTTTAAATTAGAGGAGACATGGTGATTAGTTTAGCACCATTTTATTTAATGACATTTTGATATTTTCTATTACATCAGATCATTTTCATATCACATCATTGCTAACATAACTGCACATTCAATCACATCTATATTGCAATTGTGTTGTGCAGTGAAACAGTTTCCTGTTATGTTTAGCAGTCTGTCCCAGGATCATATTTTACATTTTGGAATACAGGTATACCTCGACTTACGTCGTTTCAAGTTACGTCATTCCCAATTATTCGTCGTTTGTCAAAAAAGTATATGGAAAAATAAAAATCAAGTTTAAGTCATTTTATTCGACTTTACGTCTGTCCGCCACAAATATTGAAGTCGTAATATCACTAGAAAAATGTTTAAAGCACATAAAATCATATTAAAATATATACATTTACAGGTATGTACTGTATTTACAGTACATGCATTCGTAAATTTAGATTACTTTTTTTCTGTACTATATTAAAAACTAAAATTTATTTGTTTGTAAGCTTAAAATAGATCCTTATTAACCATACATTATTAAAAATGCATTAATAAATAAAATACAGAATCGGAATTGGCAATTTATGGTTTAGCCTAGTGACAAGTAGATTTGGAGACAAGTAAATTCGACTTAAGTCGTTCTCCTGGAACCAATTACCGACGTAAAGCGAGGTATACCTGTACATTAAAAGATGATTAAATGTAGTTTTTCCATCTACAGTGATTGCCTATTACTTTGAAATAATTGGCTGGAAAGAGACTTATTACAACCTTGTATATAAAATTCCCATATATTCAAATGACTAAGATAAGAAGTATTGATTTTCAAGCTATGTGCACAATAAGACTTTTCATCAGTTTGTCAAAAACTATAAACTAAAATTTCAGTCAATTTCACTGAAGGGCAAAACCCATAAAGATTGTGCAGGGTCCTTTGTTAAAAATTGAAAAAATAATTTATTTTATTTCGTATTTTATTGCAATTTTATTATCTTAAAATTCTTAATATTGTTACTTGAAAACAAATACAGAAATATATAATACATAATGTGTATTATATATTTCTGTATTTCCACATTGTTATAAAAACTAGGAGCCTCTGATGGTCTAATTTTATGATGACACTTCCACTATGGATCTTCACTACAGCCCCTCAGACATATATTTCAATTATAAATCTTACTTAATTGTACTATAAACTAGTACACAAAAATTAAGTAAAATTTATAACAAGATCTGCCTCAATTTGTTTTTTAAACAATTTTAATTTTTAAATTATTTCAATTACATTTTTCATTTATTCTATATAAAGTACAATGATACTACAACTTTAAATTAAAAATAATAATTAGTAATAAAAAGGATACTTATATCAACTGTAGCACCTAAATTATCAATATTAGAAACAAAACAAAATTGTCTTCCTTCATCAATGAAATGTTGAAGTAAACCAGAATTATTAAATGCATCATAAAAATCTCCATGTCCTGGTGGATACCATCTATGAAAGAATAAAACTTACATCTTTCATCAAATTAAACAAAGTTTCTTCAAAATTCTTCATATTACTAAGATATTTCTTTATTATCCATTACACCAGCATTTCTTAATCTTTTTTTACTCTCAGCACAAAACTACAATCATGCAAAGGCTGCATCACATTATTATTAGATATGGAACTTGTCAACAGGTTGATTGCAATGGACTTAATAAACTTTTTGTTAATTGAAATTACTTTCATTCAAAATCAAAATCTTGTTCATTCTACTATCAATGTTATTGTACAGGTGAGAGCTTTTAAGCCAAACATACTGAGCAAAAAAGGTCCATTGTGCACCCAATGAGAAAGAACTTCAGAAGTCTGATCTCTAAGCAAAGGCCTCTGAATCAAAATTTCCCAACCTATGGTATACTACCTATACTTTCAAGGAGTACTCAAAGAAATCTGTAATAGTTGCCAAATTTAATTTTATATTAAAATTTTATTCAATTTATACTTAGGTGCAAAAAATTTTAAATCACCTAAATCTTTAAAAACTTAACTTTAATTTTTCTTAAATAATTTACAATATACCAAATGACTGCTGGATTAAATTGCACTACTTTACCGCTATTATTTTAAATTAAAATCTAAATCTAATAATTTTTAATTAAATTCTAAATTCCAGCTCCAGGCTGATTCTTTTCTTCCAGAATATAAATATTAATTATAATTATTAAATTTAATGAGAGATGTCACATAAGAACTACCTCTAGTACCAAATTATTTAAAATTTAATTAAAAATAATAACAGTAAAATAGCCCGATTTAATCTGGCAGTCATCTGAAATATTACTAAAATATCAGGCTTCGGAATGCTTATATATATTTTATAATAAAATAAAATGGAGAAGACACTGAGGTTGGCGTTATATGTACATTTTTTTATTGCAAGCACTTTAAAAGTATTTTATACATTTGTGAGAGCTGGTTTCAGTTACTTTAATTTGATTTTTTATATATCAGTTAATTTAATGTCTATATAGTAACCTGATATTAACATTAATCCATGGTTTGTCATGCTGACAGAAAATCTCCCTTTTTATTTTCAACATTTTATCACATTTCACACAAACTTATGAAATCAAGACATTTAAGCTTAATCAATTGTTTCAGTTAATGTTAAAATTCATAGTAAAAACAAGCATTTCCTATATTTTCTCTTTACTTGGGAATCCCCTGCTACACAAAAATGCTCATGTAAGTTACTTTTTCCTCATTTGTTTTTCATTTATGGGTAATTAGCAGTTGCACAATGTAAATTAAACTTTAATTGTCTAATTATAAATTATTTACATTTAATTACTCAAAATAACATTTTCAATATCATCATCATAAACTTTGCACAATTACTGTACAAAAATGATCTACTTATTATATAATAGGTTAAAAATATATTTGAACTGATTAGAAATGCTTGGAAGTTATTGCAAATTAATTTTAAAATAAGTTGACAATTAGCCGGAAGTTACAGAGGAGGGAACAATCATGCAATCAAAAGAGCATTTACTGCAATTCTTCTAAATTCTTATTGAAATCTTGCACAGAACACAATTTGTCTGCATATATAGTGAAATCTGTCTAAAACAAGTTTAAAGCATCTACGAGTAAATAAAGCATAGAAATATATCTTATTTTTTTACATATTTTAAAATTTGTCATTTTAGTTTAATTCATCTTGCAGCATACTAGTTGGGAATCACTATTAATTAGAGAAAGGAAACAGATTTTAAGATATTACTACTGTAAGGAACCAAGTGCAAGTGTTATTTTTAGTTACTTTTATTTTTGCTTATTATTCTATTTTTGTTTGGGGCTTATGTTTTGTTAGGACGAAGGTTTCCTCACCATTTACCTTACAAACTTAAAAATAGAAGAGAAACCAAATCACCAACAAGAGAAAAGTGCTGTAGAAAAAAAAATCGCGCACACATGTGCTCCCGAGCAGAGAAAAGTAAGTCCACACCGAGAAAAGGGGGGAGGAGACCCCACAAGCACAACTTAGGAAACTTGCTAAACCTTAAAAGAATAAAACATCCTAAAAATTGTCAAAAAGAATAATGTAAAAGGTTAGCGAGTATTGTTGGAAAATAGGCTGCCAGACAAACAGAAAAAAATTTGTTAGCAAATAAGCATGTAAATGAGGGGAGTGATTGCTCTCAGAATTGTGACGTCACCTCACAGTATAAAGACCAAACCTCAAGTGAAGATGGACAAGGTGAGCTTCTGTTAGCAACGAGCATGGTGAGCTTCGTAGCAGCAAAAGAGAGAGGTGTCCGATAGGATAAAGTAGTTCCAAGGCGATTTTGAAGTTATTCGATTTGTGGATCGAAGATTAGAGAAAGTCTTAAGAATTGAGGAAAAGGTTCCTAGTATATTGAGGTGACGATTAGGATCTTTAATTTATAAGAATTATTGTACATAAGTTAAGTCTTTGAATTTTTTGTCGAGTTCCAAAGGGGGAATAGATTTAAGTTAGAAAATAGCTTGATTTGAGTTTTGTCGGGTTGATTCTTATTGACTTTCATTGAATAAATTGTTATTTGATTTTTTACTAAATTTTGTATATAGTTATTACTAGAATATTTATTAAATATACGATTTGTTATTGACTAACTTTGTCATTATTTAATCCGACACATGCTTAAAGTCCAGGCCTGGCACATTAACGCGAATCCGTGTAAAGTACCCATTAGGTAACGGCTATTTCCGGCACACAGTACTTTACACTACTATTGGATTTGCAAATATATTTTGACTTCAAAGTACCATATTATATATATACAGTCGACCCCCCTATAACGTGGTAGATACGTTCCACTTTATAAAAATTTTACGTTGTAGGAATCCTTAAATACATGAGCCAATCACAGTCCGGCACATGTGCAGTTTACAGACTACAGCTGTTTGAAAGGTTTTTTCCATAAAATTCAGACTAATTTGACTCGACATTTCCAAAACACGTATAATTTTTTGGGAATAATCCGTATAAACTATGCTATAAACAAAAAATTGTAGGATTACTTACTGAGTGTGCACCGTTTGACCACGCCATTGCTTAAGCTTGTTCTCGTCGCAGAGCAGCGCACCAAATGGCAGGCGCGTTTTTTGATAAGTTATCTTTCTGCGAAAAATTCGTTGAACTTTGGAGACATCATTAATAGAAGTAATTTTTATGGCCGTTGAATAAGAAATGTTTTTTTCACAAGAAATGTATAAAATTGCAGTACTGTATTAGACTTACAGTACCTAATTTGTATACTGTACAGACGATAGTAAACTCAACTTACCAGCCTAAACTCTCAGTAGCGTGTAAGTAGTTCAGCTGCTCGTCTACTATTGGTCCAGATTTGACCAATCCTATCGCAACACGAGTCGGCAATGATGTTTTACTGCATTTTACGAGTCTCTGTTAGTGTCTTTATATGAATATGGTCAAAATTTTTTTTGCCACGATATACGAATCCACATTATATGAACCCGCGTTATAGGGGGGGCGACTGTATATCATATTATGTTAAATATATATATATATTGCAAATAATCTTAGATATTAGATATCACATACAACATATTAAGACTAGTCATGATTAGAGAGAGAAAGAAATCATCACAGACCAGACATAATATTCATTAACAAACAAAAATTACATATACCATAGACATAGTTGTTCCAAACACTTAACTCAAAATAAACCAAAAAATTTTAGTAAATACTTAAAACTCATCCATGAAATAAAATGCCTGTGGAAAATAAGATGTCTATCATGCCTATAGTCATCATCTCTTACACACATACTACAGAAAACTCTAAAAACATTAGGTCTTAACAATAGGGCATGTATTACATTACAGAAAGTAGTTATATAAAAAATGTAACAGTCAAGAAATTCATAAATACAGATACATACGTACATAAACAAAACAACAGTCTGTTTTGTTAGGTATGCCTTAATCTAGGCCCAGCATAGTAGTAGGCACCAGTATCAACTCATTAAGACACAATCCACCAATAATAATAATAATAATAACACTCACAATGTACAAAACACATGCACAGAAAAAATTAGCAAGTACACAGAACTTGCCCAGGAAATAAGGCATTTGTGGAGGATGGAAAGGGTGCTTATTGTACCTGTTGTTCTCTCCTGTACAGGTGTGATACCACACACACTACACAAAAGCCTGGGAACATTACAATTGAATAGAAATACATACATCACACTACAGAAGGCCACTATATTGAATACATGCCACATTATTAGGAAATTCCTGAATACAGACACTGACACTGACACACTTATTTAATTTTAGTTTTGTTTTGGTTGCTATGCCTTGACTCTGGTCCGGCATAGAACACAGCCACCGGTTTAAACCGAGTATTACCCACTAAACCCAACACAATAATAATACTCTCTTCCACCACAACCAGGTCACCACCTGGTTGTGGTGGAAGAGCCCAATAATTTTACTGATACATAGAGCAATGCAGGCTGGAGCACAAGCTCCTAGTAGGAACACCAATGCCAGTAAGATCTATGGGGGAGAAAAAAAGCTAAGAGTGACCACACCCACTATATTTTTGGAGATATTTATCATGGTATTAATCAGATCTAAGTTTGATACTGGCTCGGACATCGCATAGGTTAACAACAAGGTCCATGTGTATGGGGTAGGCAAAGGCTCACATTCGAAAAATATGCCATAGTCTCCTTTGGTTACTGATGGCAAAAGCAGCACTAGCCCAAGCATGCTATTGCAATGCCCTCAAGAGATTTAAGGAACCAACCTAGCCTTGGTGTTTCTGTGGCAATGCATCCACAGACCACAAAGGCTGGAAAACCACACCAATGAATGAAATGGACAATAGAAATAAACAAGTTTATCATCCGTACTTACTACACAATCACAAAACTCTAAACAAACATGACAGCATACCGACAACAATATCCTCATCTCAATGTCACTGAACAAAGGGTTGTTGATCAAAAAAGAACAATTATGCACAAAAATCTTATCCCACAAACAACACTTGAACTTATCAAACAACAGGTTGCTGGTCAAATACATCAACAGGCAGAAACATTTAACATTAATGAAGATCATGTAACCTGTCAGGATAATCCAGCAACAAGCACTGATTACAGCACACACACAACTACCACTAATGATACTACAGACACTTCCTCATCCACCACTGATAACATAGACATAGATTTAGTTAATATGCTCTCATTTATATTTCAGGAAACACTCACTAAATATACAGGTACAGATCCCACACAAAGACCACGAATACCAAAAAGCAATGTGTCAAAGGAAGTAGGGAAAACATTAAATTATGTAAACAATTACCTACTACCACACTACATTCATTCAATTTCTACACTCAGATATTCATACATTAGTTTATGCTGGAGCAGTCACAGCAGTGACACACCATGGACTGAAAATATAATCACAGACAGACACACACAAAACACAATTGTATGACAAGCCTACCTGGCACCTGGCAGAAAAGAATAGAAACATAAATAAATAATATTAGACAGCAATTAGGCAGGCTGACACAATACACTAAAAACAACATCACACCCAAATTAAAGAAACAACTCAAAAACATTTTCAAGAAAATCAAAACACACACAAAGATCATCAACAAAACTCACATTACAAAATACATCAACATACTAAAACAAAAACTTGCAGCTGAAGCACGTAAACTCAAGCGATACAAAACATGTTCACTACGAAAAACAACAAAATAAATTATTTACAAACAATGAAAAACTCTTTTACAGACAAATTGGTAACAAAACAAACACTGATACACAGCATAGTGGCAAACCAACAGAACAACAACTCACAACCTATTGGTCTTCTCTTTGGTCCAGTGCTATCATACACAATGCTAATGCAGACTGGATCGAGGAGGAGAACAAAAACTTGCACAACATACCAACTATGCCGTGCTGAAATAAATATACACGACATCCACTATGCTGTTAATAAAACACACAACTGGAAGACATCTGGTGTAGACAACATTCATAATTTCTGGTACAAAAATTTTACATCACTGCACCATGAACTAGCTAAACACCTAACACACATCATCATTAATCCACATAACATGCCAAAATTTCTTACTCATGGCATCACCTACATGAAACCTAAAAACAATAATACCACAGACCCAAATTTATTCAAGCATTTAATTGTATTCAATATTCAATTTACTATATTACTTGTCAATCAACTTTTAAACATAAGCTTATATTTGCCAAAAATGCTATATAAATTCCTCTACAAAGGAGGAAAAAAAAATCATTAAAATGTTTGATTGAAAGTAAAATTCAAAATACAGCAAAGAGAATTAGGACTGGAGATGATTATTATTATTTAGAAGCTATACCACTTAATGAAAAACTGTATAACCAAGCTATGTCCAGTGTACAAAAATAAAACTGCCACAAACTACATTGTCCAGTCTGCTGAGATGCTGGAGTTGAGCTGCAGAAGGTGGTCAAGTGAAGCACTGCTAGTATTTACATAAACTTATTACATTTTAATTTTTCAAAATATCAAAAATTTTATAAACAGCAATTCAAAAATTCTGTTTAAAATTTACTATTTTTACAGAAAGTAATTTAAAATCTTGAAAGGGAAAAGAATAAGATTTTCTTAAAACTAATTATAGTAAAATTATGGAATATAATTTTTCTTACGCTTCAAGATCTGAGTCATCTAAGGATGTTGCAATAGGCAAAAGACTTTCTTTATTAATTCGTGGATACCTGAAAAATATTTCAATGAGTTTATTCAATTTTTACAGTTTCATCTAATATATGAATTTCAATTTTTGAAGTTTAATGCTCATCACGTTTTAAAATAAGAATAATTATAATAATAGTATAAATAAAGTACAGTAGAGCACCGTTTATCCCAAAGTCAGTTACACGAAATGTCGGTTAACCGAAAGCATTCCTGTTGGCAAATTTAAATTATCGCTAGTGCTGTTGCACTGCAATCTTTGGCTATATCTTTGGCTACTCCAATATTTTTTGTTGTTGGTGTGTGTGTTTTTGCTGGCAGCACTGGCACTTTTGTGTGGTGTTTTTCTGAGGACTGTGTGTTGTGCTGAATCAAACGTTTTTGAGTTTTTGATACTAGATTAACTTCTAAAGTATAATTTTTTTGTTTTTATATTTTACAATATATTTATTTTGTTTGTAAAAAATAAAGAAATAATTTTTAATGATACAATAGCCACGAATATTATTTTAAAAAGTTTATGTTAGGCTTAACATCGACGAAAATTCAATGCAAAGCGACACGCAAAATGGAAAAAATTTCAACATGGGATAGGTTAATATATTTTTTCATACATAATCGGTTATCCAAAAAAATAAGTTATGTGAACAACCCCAGTCCCCAATTGATTTGGATAAATGATGCTCTACTATATAACAAATATTTATATGTAAACTATTCAATTGCATTATAAATTAAAAGAAAGAAATATTATAGAAAAACAAATTACAACTGAAATAATATTATACTTAGTAACTACTGGCAGTAACATGGTTAAAATGTCCAAATATGCCCTAGGAAGGTAGAACCAATTAAACTACTTGTCTGACATTGCTTATGTATGAATATTCGCAGTGGCAGCACACTTCAAAAATCTCATGGCACAGTGGTTGAGAATCACTGATCTAGGGTTTACATCTACAATAAAAAAGTTATATGAAAATTATACTATAAAAAATTAAACAAGGTAAAACGCTATCCCCTACTCTAAATCTTTCACGTGGAGTACTTCAGGGAGATCCTCTGTCACCATATTTTTTAATTTCTATCTATGGGACTTCGACCAACTCTATAATAATTCCTCAGATGGCATTGAAATAAATAATAATTCTTTTCACTACATCCTTTTTGCCGACGATCTTGTCGTTCTAGCCCCAAATAAAATATCTTTGCAACGTAAAATCAACTCAATCATTATCTCAATTCAATCTACCTTGAAATAAATCCTACAAAAACTATCATCATCATTTTCTGTAAAAATAAACTATCTGATAAAGACTCAAAAATCTATCATAAAAATACTCTATTGCAAATAACTAACAAAGTCAAATACTTGGGAGTGGAATTTGATTGGAACTTAACCTTTAAACATCAAGTGTCAAAATTAAATGTCAAGGTCAAAAAGGTAATTGATAACCTCTTATTTTTATGTTTAAATTTAAACATTCATCTGAAACTCTATAGCACTACAGTAAGTCCTATTATCTATTACGCAAGCCCAATTTGGGGCTTTATCTATACAATCTCGAATGTCTGCATATCTATTTCCTATGTAAGTTGTTACAATTAGAAAATACATTTCCTGGATATGCCATCCGACACAAAACAAATCGTACTTGGATCTTTCCTCACTTATTAAAAAGAATAATAAAATTTTACTACAGACTTAAATATAAAAGTGATGACAATACTAGATTATTATATCAAGAAATGGTAAAGCAAAGTAAAAATGACAATAATAAACAGCTATGGCAATATAAAATTCAAAGAATATTAAACACTTTTAGAGTATCAGAACTACTGTTTACAGACTCAATTCAAGATTGGAAATATGGTTACTCTCTCCTACTGAACTCTGCTATTTCTAAAACAATCAACAAAGATCAACTTTCCTTAAATCAAGTAATTATCACCCTTGGTATACCAATATTTTAAATATCCCTTCCTTTCAACCCTACATGTGGCTACCAAACAATTTGAATGTTAAACAATTAATAATTCAATTAGGTCTCAATAAATATTCGCTTTTTATTAATAAAACTTATATAAATCTCTCAAATACTCTCTGCCAGCTATGTCAACAAAGATTTTTCTGTGCTCCATCTCCTGCAAAATTGTCAATCTTTAAATAATATACATAAACAATATGATATAATAAATATATGTAACGTTAATTCATCTATCGACTTCAAAAATAACTTAAATAATATCAACAGAAAAGATGCTTATAAAATTTTTTATTTTTTTGTTAAATATACTGAAAAAATTCTTTGTAATATTTAATCATTGGTTCATCACTGTTGTTCTAAATCCTTGACAATGCATCATTAAGGTACTTTGTATTTACACTGTTTAAATACATCAAATAATGACAAGACCTTTTAAGTAACATAGCAAGACATGTTAATTTTTAATTAATTTTCCTTTATGTTTTTTATGTATTACAATCATGTAAAGCAAAATAATAATTGATATTGTTATATGTATTCTCTCTATAATAGGGGAAAATTTCCCTTGGAAATAAATACAGAAATTTATTGAAGCTTACTACTAATTTAAAATATTTTTATAATTATTTAAATTTTAAATTATCTAAAATATTAACTATGATAAATTACTAATTAATTTTACCTGCTTTGCATAAAAGTATATATCTTTATATTAAATCCCTTATATTTTCTTAAAACCTTTTGTGTTTCTTCTTCTGTATTAAAGGAATTCATCAAAACTAAAGGCACGTCAGCATTATAGGTCTTATTAAGATACTAAAAAAGAAAAATAAACACCAAAATTTTTGAAGCTATTTTTAATATGATATAGTTTCTTAAAATTTACTACCATAATTTTCTGCATGTAACCCACACAAGCATATATTCTGCAAAAATTGCTAAACTGAAAATAAAAAGATATACACAGGTTGTCTAAAAGAAACTGACTTTTTGCTCTAGAAATATAACTAGATAGCACAACTAGTTTCAACAGTCAAATTCAAAATTTTGAATGTTATATTATCAATCATGTGCAATTACATTTGAATTGGTTCAGAACAATCTTTTGTGTGGTGTGAAACATAAGGGTTATTTTGTGACCCTCATCTGAAAATTGCAGTGAAGCACTGTGCCAACATCAAGTTCTGTGTAAAACTAAAGAAAACTTTTACTAAAACATTTAAGTTACTGAAACAAGTATATGGGGATGATTGCCTAAGCCAAACACACATTTATGGCTGATTTAGTCAATTCAAAGACGGGCAGGAGTCAACTGAAAATGATCTGAAAAGTGGTTGTCTGAAGATGTCGACTACAGACAGTAACATTGATAAAGTGTGACAAATATTAGGAAAGGATCCAAATGTGGACCTGTAGAATGTTGTCATAGGAGTTGGGAGTGTCAAAAGTCCCTGTCCACATAATTTTACATAAGCATTTCAACAAATGTAAGGTCTGTTCCTGCTTTGTTCTCACTCACTGAGGAATAAAAGCAGGCAATTATTCATCACATTCAGGATATCGTCAAAATGGCTCACCGCAATCCAAATTTTCTCAAAAATATTGTCATGGGTGATGAAACATGGCGTACCAATACAACACATCAAAATTCCATGTGGAAGTCATCAGATGAATGAAATTCTTCTGATGATTCTACAATGAAAAAACTTTGTTTCCAACAATCACGGGTCAAGACCATGCTCATCTGTTTTTATTATTCCAAAGGTATCGTGTACAAAGAATTTGTCCCAAATGGCCAGAATGTTACTTAAGAACATTATTTGAATATTTTTGAACATCTCTGGAAGCAAATTTTACATGTATGGCCAGAGTATCATGCTCAAGGAAGCTGGACACTATTATATGACAATGCACCTTCACACAAGAGCACAATCATTCATGAATTTTTGGCTCAAAAAAGTATTGTAACCTTAGATCAGTGATTCTCAACCACTGTGCCATGAGATTTTTGAAGTGTGCTGCCACTGCAAATATTCATACATAAGCAATGTCAGACAAGTAGTTTAATTGGTTCTACCTTCCTAGGGCATATTTGGACATTTTAACCATGTTACTGCCAGTAGTTACTAAGATGTTTAGAAAATGTGACCTAAATAACCAACTACATTTAAAAATCACTGTTATGACATCACCGGTTGTCCTGCAGTACTTACCAAAATAACTGTGTGCTGCCAAATTTTTAAATTATTAAAAGTGTACTGTGACGATAAAAAGATTGAGAATCACTGCCCAAGATCATCCACCATATTCTCCTGATCTGGCTTCCTGTGACTATTTTCTGTTCTGTTCTGTTCCTAAAATTCCAATGAAAGGAACTTGTTCAAGGACATTCCCAAGATTGAGACTGCTGTGACAGTACTGAACAAAGTGTCAAAATAGGAGCTGAAAAAATCCTTTGAAATGCTAATTACTCATTCTGAACATTGCATTGCTGCAGAAGGATCTTATTTCAAATAAATAAACATATTTATAAAAATTTTTGTTTTTCTTTCTAGAGCAAAAGTTTGGTTTATTTTTAGATAATCTGTGTATACTGTAGGATGGTATGGATTATGTAATCTCCAAAGTTGCCATCAAAAATGTCACAACCCACATGAAATTCTGATAATATTGTCCCAGTCATTTAATTTTTTTCTCCCATTTGTTTTACTTTTGTTATAATTACATTACAGTAAATTTCTAAAATAAATAAAAGTAAAAAACAGAATATTTGAAATGAAAAACTCAACTGCATTTTGATGAAAATACAAAAGCCAAATAATTTTTTTTATTGCTTTGTTTTGTTTCTGTTTTATTTATCAAATAATAAATTATATGATAATAAATGCTTTAAAACAAAGTATACTACAAATGTTATTGATATTAATGTTTAGGGTCATCTCAGGTCAAGATGAGTCTGGTGTAGCAAAGTGGCAAGTGGTGTTTTCAGCAGGAATGATTATATCTTAAAGCAAAGTAAATCAGTAGTAATAAAATAATTTCCATCACTATCATTATTAATTTTATTAAGAAAGTTTCATATGGACATGGGTTTACATGTGCAAGATTCTACATGTCTTTGTTTACAAAAAATGTATGTATATTGTCTGATAACAAATAAAACATTTTAGATTCAAAATTTCCTTACTTTATTTAAACATAATATTTTAACAATTTACATACATTTCTCTAATAGTTTACTTATTAAAATTATATGAAAACAATCAAGCATCAATATTTTATTCTGACTGTGGCCCTGTAGAGTTTGTGCTGGTTCCCCAAAAGTTGATTTTTGGCCTAAGGCTCCCTTGAAATGTTTTGTAGCCACATTAGGGGCAGAACCTGCACCAAATTTGGTACTAAAAAAAAAATGTTTCAAATACAAATACCAGTATTTGGTGTTTGAAATTTTTTTTTAATATATTGCCAGTTCTGCTGTTGATGATGTGTTGTTTTGGAACTCTGACAGTGCACACATACATTCTCCAACACTGAAATTGTATGTTCTAATCATCCAAATATAACTATGCACTATGTAATGAATAAGACTGACATATCTAAGAAAATGTGCACAACATTCAGTTTATTTTGACTCTTACTGTATATATAATATAAACACGTTTAATTTAGTATAATATTCAATTTTTTTTTGTTTAGTTATTTAACAGTAATCACTAGAAACAAAAAAAAATCTTATTGCACTTGGTTACATAAATGAAATTAAAATGTATTTATTTTTTAATCTATCATAAATATTATACTGTTAAACATCAATTTGACATAATTAAGATAAAATTTGGTTATATTATTTACAAAATTAAATAATACCTGAATTTGCTGTACTGTTAAATCAAGAAATGTAAGATCATTTCTAACAGGAATAATGGATTTTGGTCCAGTACATCCCATACTTGTTCCTAATCCACCATTAAGTTTTACAACTACAAGCTTATTTAGCATTTCTCTGATATTGTCAGTGTGTGGTTCTTCAAGACTAGAATAATCACGAACCTGTTAAATAATAAAATTTATTAATAACATATAATGTTAAATATATAAAATTTTGATAATTCAGAACAATTAAAATGTCAAATATTCACTAATATAGGGAAGATTTCAATAATAATAAAATTATACAAAAAATTTACTCAAAATCACCAGTTTTCATATCAATTGGACACAATAAAAATTTTATAAAATTTTCAATATAAACAAGAAATAACATAGTACAACATCTTATTTAGAAACAAAATTTAAATTATTATCTTAGTTTATCTTAATGGATATACACACACATTTACTAAAACATCTCTGATGACCAATAAATACTTCACACCTCTGTTGACATGCGAATACTTTCTAAAATCCACCAGAGTGTTGAAACAGATCTCATTTGCCAAATGCAAGTGTTTTCCTTAAAAATACTTTATTTTAGTTGGTTTATGCAAAGTATAGATCAGTTGCAGTTCCATTTGCAGTTTCAGCCCTATTTACTTTGTCACTCTGCATAACTTTGATTCCTCCAAAGACGGCTAAGCACAGATAATAAAATTTCTTTAATAGGCTTTTGATCATTTTTGCTCATTCCACCAGTTATAATAGAATTGCAGATCAGCCAATGATTAGAGTCAGGATTAAAATTGATGAATGGCATTGCATAACAGATCCATATATATTTGTCAAGTGAGTACCAAAATTGTGGAGACAAAGTTCTTCCAATCCCAATTCCTCCCATGTCGTTAATGGTGTTTGGTATATTGGGTACAAAACCACAATCATCAAAATGATCATCAAGATCAGTGATGATAGTATTCCAATCAAGTTCACCCTTCAATATAAATTTTAAATATGACAGCTTGCTTCTTTGATTCAGGATTAGTCTTTCAGAATAGAACCAGATCATTATAATATTCTTCACCAATTCATACAAGTGCAGGATGGCTAAAAAGTTACTGTGCAGTAGAAAAGATTTAAGCTTTTATTAAAGTTTTAAATACAATATTATAGTTTCTCCAATGACAAATGCTGAAAATGTCTCCCAGAGATTCAAAGACACATCTGAACACAACACTGCCTATTATCACACACATTCTGTAGGGTGGCAAGACCTGTTCTGTATTGGGAAATTGACATCTGCAGCTCTTCCAGATTTTGTTGTGAATTGTTCTCATAAACTCATCTCTTCAGAGATAAAAATCTGAGGAGTGATGAGATCTTAGATCTCATATGCAATACTATATATATAACTTTAATGTCACAACAAATTTCTCACTGCAGAATGCAACCTGTATTTATAGATAATGGTCAATTTTATCCTTATGTGATATTAAAAATCCATATTTGACAGACTTTAGAACTTGACTTTTCCCTAAATGGAATTGTACAGTTGGTAAATTACATTGCCATCATAATTTTCCACAGTTTTTTAATGCTCTTCTAGCATATCATACAGACAACTACTGCTAGCAAACACTTTCCCATTCAGTGTAATAGAAAAATCTGTACATCATAAATGTCTCTTGGTGATTGCTACTCAAACAATATTAACACACTCTTTTATAATGATATTTGAAGAAGTAAATCACAATGGATGGTTTAGAGTGCATCGACTGCAATTCATTTATTTTTAAATTATTATTATTATAATATGCATTTAAATCAATTCTTAATGTCTGTATTATTCAAATTTGCTTTTTAGCATTAATTAATTATTTCTAGTGATTAATTACATGATTTTGTCATGATAATTTATTAGTTAAATATGTCAATTCCATTTTAGTATTAGTTTTTATTTTCCTTGATAGATGGCACTAAGATGCCTGATATTATGTAAACTCATTCATGCTTATTAATTAATACAGTCAAATATCAAAGTCATAATCACAGCATGTTATAACACATCATTACGTTATGACATGTTACATCATGTCAGATTAATCTGTTCATGCCTATTAAAATGTGACATACCTATTAAAGAATATACTATCAAATGTTAGGTTATGCCAGAACATTGTAACACAATTAACCTTTTCATGCCCATAACTTGTCATGATGACATCATAAACTTTGCACAAAGGATGCCACATTGGATTATATCATCATCAATCCTGACTGATTGTAACTGATTACATGACACATTTTTCAAATCAACCAATTAAGACTGCCATTTAGGTCATGTTGTACATTTTGTAGTGCATAAGCACTATGTATAGTTAATTCCGTTTATTTTTGTATATATGTCGTGTGTCATATCGGGTTTTACTGTAAAATTCCGTTTTATTTTATGATATCGGATTGTGAACAGGTGGGACCCGTCGCTCTTGTTGATTAGTCAGCGACTAACATCACGCGTAATTCACGTCACACTCAACGGTGGGAGGTATAAATATTGAGACTCCCATCCAAAGAGGGGACTTTGTCTTCTTTCTGGCTCCTGCAAGAGAAAGGACTTCGTGGTGTAAGAATAAAGGGACTGACACGTGTGAACTAAGGAATGAAGAGAACAGAATCCAATTCCATCATAGAGAATCCGCCTGTTGTTCACGAAACAAGAAGATGATATTAAGACATGAAACATCGAAGAACCTCCGAAAACTATTATTTTTGTCAGTACGTTGAGTATTGTGTATTTCGTTAAAGGAGAAGTAATATCTTCTATCCATTCGCTCGTATAGTTTACATGTTCCGTTTTGAAAATTTAATGGATTGTTGTTCCTCTCCTGTGGTGTAAATAGGTTAATGTTCTTTTGTTTGTAAATATTCATGATTAAACCTTATTAATTAAATTCCACCATAATTGTAGTCCTTTATTTTATGTGTCTGTGCCTTGACCCTATAACCTTGCCTAACAGACCTAGGTCTATTGGGGCTTAACAGTTTCAACAAATCATACGCAAGAGATACAGTGTATCATATTCCCCACTACTATTATACATATGTCAGCAATGTGTATATTTCATAAACAATTCCATAAGAACAATTATTGTATACTAGTAATCTTGGAAAATATTTCTATAGCCATGTGTAAATATAAATGCTATCATTTTTTCCATCACCAATTTGATATACCAATACAATTATAAATATATTTTGTATTCAAGTTTAAATGAATGTTCTCTAGATAATTTTTAATCTAGATATTAATAACAAGTTTACAAATTATATTTATAATTTGTTCTTTTGAATTTTAAAAAGTTATTTTATTTTAATTTCTTATGTTAGATAAAAATTATATTTCCATTAAAATACACATATAGTTTTATGATTACTTACAGCATCTTTAGATAAAGATTCAACTTTATCCCATTCAATTGATGGTCCAGTACCTTGAAGATATTTTGCAAATAATCTTTGAAAGCCTTCAAACTCAGCTATTACCTTCTAAAAGTATTAAAAATTTAAAAAGTTAATATTTAATATATTAAAATATTATATTTTAAATCTCTAAATATAATTTTGCTAGATTAAATTTTTATTAAAAAAATTTCAAACTAAGTTTTTAAAATGCAAATATTTCTATGAAAAATAAATGTAAGAATAGTGAAATGGAACCTAATATTTTATATCAATTTAGTTTTTTATGAGTTAGAGCTTGTACACACTAGGCGTTTTTCAACGCGCGTTTAACGCGAGTTTTAAAGAACCAAGAGTTCTATGTAGGCGTACACACTCAAATGCGCGCTTTTGGCCAAGCGCACGTTAAACGCGCGTTTATAGATTTTTGTTAAAACGCGCGTTTTGCAGGCGTTAGCCGAGCGCTTTGACATATATGTGCTGCCATGTTACTGTACATTCGATCGCGCGTTTTGCGGGCGTCAGCCGAGCGCTTTGAGATATATGTGCTGAAATGGAGAACGATCATTTCGATACTTATCTATTTATTGATGAAATCTAAAAGAGACCAACCATCATCAAAGGATTTTATAGATATTTTAAAAGAATTAAAAAACTTGAATTTATTTTGTCTTAGTTTTGGATACAACGTCGCAAACATTTCATGCGTCAGTCTATCTTGTAATATTGGGTGCACCCAAAATTCTCTTTGCCTCTGCCGTCGTCTTTTATAGTACTGCATTCTAATAAATTATCATTTCAGAACAAATTTTATAAAAATCAACACACAAACACCATAAAAATTCAGCGAAATGAGCCAAACATTTTAATAGCTTGGAGGTCCTTCTCTGAAATAACTTAATGTTGCTTAAGTCCACTTCTCCCATCATAGACAATTGGCTCAGTGTATGCAAGATATACAACAAAACCCATGGTTTTCTATATTTGTTGTGTGTAAAATTTAAACATAAGAGAATAAAAAATTTGTTGCAAAGATATTCTATTTTGGATCACTTGTTTGAATTCTTCAAATAACATGAACATGATCATTTAAGATGACTGAAAACATTAGTTAGCTTATTAAGTGTTTATTTTTATGAATTTTTACAGTGTATAGGTGTGTGGGGTGTTAATTATCACTTTATCCAGTATTCTGGAGGTTTATTTAAATTTTATAATCTAGGACAAATTTATATTTTTCTGTTTTAATTAACATTTTTTAATCAGCAATTCCTCAAACTAAATAAATCAAGTAAATTAATATATCTTGTGAAACATCTTAATGGTAATCATATCAACATGAATTTCTCACTGATTAAAGAAACAAGAAAAAGTTTTTAGAAATCCTTTGACAGTCCTCTTCATTAAGATAAACTGCAATCCATGCAATGGAAAGACAAACACAAGAGAAGGATTTAGTCTAATATAGAAATTTAATTTATAGATTCTTCTAAAATGTAGTAAACTCGGTTCTTCAAAAGAAATTAAAATTGATATAATATATTTCAAGAATACAAATGGTAAGAAAAAGAACAATGCCAAGAGATTGTCACCTACAGTAAAATGAAATTAATGCACAGCACTACAGAATCTAAACTCTTAAACAGTAAAACAATATTATAACAGCAATCATGAAAAATAAAAATATGGATATAAAAATATTTTTCAATCTTTTAGATCAGAAATCAACTTCAAAATGTCTATATCTGATAGTTTATTATTTATTAAATATTAGTGATACTTCTTGTCATTTTATGTATGTAATTATTTATTTAGTGTAATACTCACTTCAGAGTGGTGTAAACTCAAAAATAAAAAAAAGTTAGTGATGATCATTTTCAAAAATTCTCTCAAACTATAATCATAAATATATAAATATTAAGGAAGCAACATGTGCAAAGGCTCCCTGTTTTTTACACTATCTACCAGAAAGTAATTGGACACCTGTGATAGAACAGAAAAATGAAGTTTATTCATCATCAATAGCTGGTGGAGATTACAGCTATTGGAGAATAGCTAGTGGAGAGTATTTTCTTCCAATCAGCTGGGAGAAGACATATGAGTTCCTTCACCGATTTTGGGCGTTGGGGACACTCCTTCAGTCAACACTCAAACTCATCCCAGAGGTGCTCAATAGGGTTCAGGTCCAGGCTCTGAGGTCTAACCCATAAAACCACCACAATGTAGGAAGCACGTGGTTAAGCAAAATAGTGCAATGGGCATTGGTGTTGAGCTTACCATCGATTGTAAACAAGGGTCCCAGGCCATACCAGGAAAAACACCCCCACACCATAACACCACCTCTGCCAAACTTTACTGTTGGCACAATGCATTCCGGCAGGAGGCGTTCTCCAGGCAGATGCCAAACCCAGACTCTGCCATCTGAACGGAAGAAGGTAAACCTGGATTCGTTGCTCAGGGAACCTGTTTCCACTGTTCTACAGTCCACTGTCTACGTTCTTTGCACCAAGCTTACCAAGCAGCGCTGTTGGTCCTGGTGATGAAAGGCTTGTGGACAGCAGCACGTCCATGATAACCACGCAAATGGGCTTCCTTATTGATGTTATTAATCAAAACAACAGTCCCAGTTGTCATTTGAAACTCCCTACGGATGTGGGCCATCAGTTGGGTGCAATTCTTCCAAATTTCTCTGGAGAGCACCCATCAGTCTCTAACTCCCAGTTTTGTGGGCATGCCTGGTCAGGGCTTATTCTGACAGTTACCGCTCACCTTCCACTTGCAAATCACATAGCCCACTGTTGATTTTGGGTACTTCAGCTCGCTGGATATGTCATGTATGGAACAGCCATTTCTGTGATAACCAATGATTACACCTTCTTCGAGATCAGACAGCTCTGAACTGCATGGCATTTTGCATGCAACCAATGCCAATTTTCTTTCCCACTTGATATTTTAATCTGCAGTGGCTATGACGTCTATTAAGACAGTGAATGTCACTGTTTGCAGGAGTGTCCATTTACTTTCTGGTATATAGTATATTACTGAAAAATGTAAAATTTTTCTATGAAACCTTAAATTTTTATCGGCAGCCATAAAAAAAATTCCTGCCAAAATAGTGTTTACGATATACCAATCAAAGGAATTATACTCAACACCCAAATGAAATGCATATAGCTGTATTCCAGCTATATGCATATAACATGACTTAATATAATAAATATTGATTAATTTTTAAGACTGCATACATTACACCTGTAGTTTTACCACTCAGCCATCTTCATTGTAGGCCTGGCTGAACCCTTGATGAATGAATAGATGACTGTTTAATGCAATGTAACACACAGGCAATCTGCCAAAGGAGTGTGTGCCTCCCAGGAGGACTTTTATGGGAAACTGGCTCCATTTTTGATATTAGATATATAAAGAAAACCCAGAAACCTCCAATGATCAGCCCATTGGTAAAGCATCAACCTGTTAAAACCACTGAATATTGATAATTGATCTACTCAGCCATTAGTGGGCATTGGACCCATAATGAGCATGGGAAAAATGCCCTCTTATGAATTAGTGTCTGCAAAATGGAAAAAGTTAAAGTAAATCAGAAATATAATGTAATATAGGACACAGAAGTAGCTATCAAAAACAAATTTCTAAAATATAGTTTTATAAGAATAAATATTTTTACTTTTTTTAATTTTTATGGACAGGATTTCTTTGTTTTAATGAACTATATATGTTTCATTCTTAATTACTCTAATTATTTAATTTGATAAGTTAATAATAAAACTAAAATAATTCACACTTACATTTTTGATCTGAAAATATGTAGCATTTATTTTCTAATTTATAGCTAATAACATACAATTATGTAAGAATCTGATATTTAAGAAAAATATTTGTTAAAATATTATTTTAAAATTTAAACTTGATGAAGTTTAAATTTTAAATCAGTTTTTGACTTCCTCTGACTCCGGGAGGAGGACACTTAATTCCTCCCAAAATGATAGTTTAAATGTGGTAACCCACTCAAACTATCCACACAACTGCCAGACTTTCTTCTCTTAACAGAAGCATGGCATGACATTCCAGTAATACTACTGGATGTCAATTTAGTATAAAAGTTAAAATTTAGTAAAGGTCACCTTTCTACATGCTTTTAGTCTTGCTTTTGACTACCATCAAAGCTTTAGCCATTGTTCCATTCCAGTGTCAAACAGATTAGTAATCATTCTCCCAGAATTCCAAGTATGCAATTCCACAAAATATTTGATTCCATATCAGTTATGTATGGACTTCAAGTAATATGACTATTTTCATGTAAACTCTCTCAGGATAGAATTTGAGGTTTAGGATTTGATATCCTTATATAATTGATTGTTGAACTTATCCTGTTACATATCATAGTAATCATTTATATGTACTCACCTTTAATTATAATATAGCATAATAAATATGTAGTTATGTTCTAAACCATCTATTTGATTAAGTTAGTGCCTAACTCCATCATTGGCTCACATTACAGTAGAAACGTTCGAATACAATACCCTTCTATAATTCCAGTCAAGTTTAAACTATATCTTTATTTACTCAGAGAATAGACTCATTTCAAGTTAGGACACAACCAATTTTAATCCTAACTTGTGTCGGGACCTTGACTAAGAGATCTTACCAGTTTTCCTTTAAATCTTTATATTTACCATCCTGAAAGTGAGGAGAGGTTAGACTAGACAACACCCATCTCACAATTATTATTTAATAAATACAACAGCCAGGACAATAATAAAATACAAAAATATTCACAAATTAGAAGAAACCATAAATGTCTTCATATTTTGTCTTTTTTCAACACCTCTGGAACACAGCAGTCTTTACAGATGGAGTTAACCTTATATTTATAAATATAATTTTATATTTGAGGCAAAACATGAAGACATTTATGGTTTCTTCTAATTTGTAAATATTTTTTTATTAGTGATGGGATGATTGGAATCAGAAAAATTGGGCATTTTCTGATAATCAGAATCAAGCAAATTTCATCATGATTTTTGATTCTTAAATTGATTCTTTCACATTTAATAAGAAAATTAATTATTTGTTTCAGTTGAAGATTATATATTTTTTAAATTACAATATTAACAATTAAGTATTAGTTTACTGGAAATTTTCATGTTGACAAAACAAAGTACATGATGCCCCATACATCAGGTGATGTCTGTTCTTTTTGTAGTCAGAGTGATGAGAGATTATACTTGGTCAGTCCTTTAAATGTATCTTTAAATGCTCTAACCCATTTTCTTACCATTCCATCACTCAATGATTTTCCCATACACCTCACGAATCTGCCAATGAATGTCAACCATTTTCACATCTTTTGTATTAAGAAAACGAATCACTGTGCATACTTCACAATGAGCAGAATTTTCAATTGCCTGTTTGTGTGTGTTTAAAATGCCTCAAACATAAAACGGACAAATGCTTCCATAATGGTGTTTGTGGCTAGCTAACAGATGTAGATACTCAGCACACATTTGTGGAACACCAACTGCAATACTGCAGCGGACCTATTTTAAAATGGTATTTACTTAAAAAACATGCCTTGTAATTACAATTTTTTTAATTGCAACTTTTTCTTTTTCAACATAACTATAAAAATTATTTTATTGTTGTTTTGCACAAGAGATAATCAAATTTTAATTTTTTAGTAATTTAGTAATTAAATTTTGTTTTATAAATTTGCCTGCTTTTTAAAATTTTAATTATAAGCAAGTTAACATTGAACATCAGGCTACCTAGTTTGAAATCAAGGCCATTGGTTTGGCAAAAATATTTAAGTGTTGGCAAACAGGCAAACAAATCAGGCAAACAAAAATATAAACAAAATTATACTGTGATTGAAAAATTTTATATAAAATTATTTTTATTATTTAGTGTGTTTACTTATATGATAAAACTACTTTCTCATTATAATTATAAATGTTATTGTTATGATTCATAAATGATGCTGTAATACATTAAATTTTCAAATGCAATTCTCGTGATTCTAAGTGAAAAATACTTGTTCAAGCTAAGTTTTCTGCTGATTTTTCAAGATGAGTCTGTCTAGACATTCATGGCTCAAATTAATGAATTCAAACATTGGTTAACTCATGAAGATGATGATATTTGTTCATCTCATTGTATCATTTGCCAAACCTCATTTAGTGTTAAATATGGTAGAATTAAAGCATTTATAATACCAATTTCAAGAAGCAAAGAAAAAAGTACATCTCATTTACCTTCCCCCTACCTCAGTTGTCACATAGGCCAATGAAGCAGTTTCCAAAGATGGCGACCCTAGATGACATGATGGAATAGTTCTTTGAGTAAAAGGAATTAGCTGTAATTTCTTTGAGGGTAGTGTTGTGATAATAACTTTATCTGAAATAAGATTACAAATTTATTTTGTAGTACACAATAAAACCATACATATCCACATGTAAATGGAGAATTTTCAGGTTTCTTTTGAAAGATTGATTCTGGATTTTCCATTCTTAAGGTTCGTGTTTATTAATTAATGAATGTACTATGCTCATAATGTAAATAAATAATTTTTCTAAACTGAAATAAACTTTAGAAACTATTCAAAAGAATTGGAATCTTATCAGAATCAGGAGTTTTCAGCAGAATCATAATTGGGAGAAATTTTGGTATCATCCCATCACTAATTTTTATACAATTACTATCAATATGTTAATTATATAATAACAAAAATATTTTAAATTTCCTGAAATTCAGATATTTCAAAATTAGTCTTTAAATGTAGTGTTTAAATATTCTTGCTTCAAGTTGTGATTTCAGAATTATGTAACACTTGAAAATGCGCATAAATATTCAATATCATCTGTAAATTTTTGCTTAAGAGTAAATAGATTGAAAAAAAACAAAAATAATTCAATTGAAATTCAGTCAAATTCGTTGAAAATTTACTAAAAAGTTTTAAAAATCTAGTAATTTTAGTAATCTAAAAAGTGTGATGGCTTTAATATTAAAGAAATATAATTTTGTACTTTAACAAGAAATGTCTTAATCATAATTTAAGAAATGAAATTTTTGTACATAAATGGAATAATATAAAATTATCAACTATAAAAATTTTTTATTAACTTTTGATTTGTTTAATTGTAAACTCAATTATTAATTACATTATAAAATTTTATAAATTGCACATGTATTTTAACAATACCTCTCTTTCTACACTTGGTGCAGTTTTCAATAATTTTTCTAACTCTTGTGCAAGTTGAGCTTGAGCATCCTTTTTTGTTATTTCTTTGAATTCTGAAGTGGCACTTAATTTTCTTTGCTTACCAAACAACTATAAAAGTCAAAACAAAAAATTCTAATTAAGAATTAATATTATAATGAAATATAATTTGAACAAAGAATAAATGCAACAACACACAAACTAACCTACAAATGCAAAAAAAACTTAGAATAATAAAATGTGAAATGCCCATTTTCAACAATAAATATTAATGAGTAAAATAGGAATTATAACAACATAACCCAAGAAACAAATGATTTATTTTTTCATGAGATATATTGATTTCATTTTCTAAAAAAATTGAAAAATGAATAAAAGAATAATTTATGAAATTCATAACAGCAATTTTTTTCACTTGTCATAAAATATTACTTCAACTGTTATTCAAAATGTTCATATTAAAATAGAGATTTCAAAAATTTTTCAATTAAATATTGAAAAATATATACATGATTTAAAAACTTACTAAGAAGCTCAATATGTATCAACTGCTTTGATTTTTAATATATACACAAAGTTTGAATTTTTATGAAGCACACACTATAAACAGCCTTTAAAGTCCAGTAACAAAAATTTTTTAATAAAAAAACTTTTGACAAATGTTTTTGACCTCAACCAAGATCTGCATTAGGTCTTTAACAANGTCCTCCTCGTCTCGAGAGGCCTCAAAAATTACATAGCAAAAAGATAATATGCCCGTAAAAATTTAATGAACGGTTAAAAAGTATATATTTTACATCCGGTGAGAACAGTGATATAACTCATAAATTAACACAATACATGAGTTTTTAATAAAAAAACTTTTGACAAATGTTTTTGACCTCAACCAAGATCTGCATTAGGTCTTTAACAAAATTCCAAATTGAAATGCATAGAACAAATTTTAAAATATTAATGTTTTGAAAAAAATTGAAAATACAAAACATAATGCATATATAACAATTAAAAAATTTAACACATGTATAAAGCTATCCCATATTTTTTTTCCTCATACCATCTTTATTTACAAAACCTCTGCCCTGCAGAGCACCACAGAGGTTAAAATACAAGTGTAAATGGGGTAACAAGACAAGGGTTACATAATTACTGATACATACATACAATTATAAAATAGAAAATATATACAGGAATCATCACAGTGCACTATATACACAACTGATACAATACAATACTATTAGCAAAATAAAATATTCTTACACATGAGAGGTAGATTTACCAAAATGATAAGTGTGGTAACTTGTAAACTAAAACAAGAATTTACAGGTGAAGTGCATGACAAGGCACATTATACACTACATAATCTAGGAGTAAAGGTAATGCATAGAAGTACAATAATAATCTGAATTAATTAGTAAAATGACATTAGGACAAAAAATAACACACATGGCTATCGATAAGACGGAATAAATATACACACATATATGCAAAGATAGCACTCACAAAACATATAGATTATATATATATATCTTTGACAATGTGATGAGATTAGAGGCTAGAAAATACAGCACCATTATGGAGACCTTCTATTATTGCCCATATGATTAAAATAATCTTTGATGAGGCTTTCAAGTTCCTGAAACAAAGTGTCATTCCTTATCAATTCATGTGGAGGGCAAGGCCAGTATATGCCAGCTGCACCAGTAAGAAGTTGGAGCTTCAGCCTATTGCTTTCAGTCACTGGGCACTGGTAGATGTAGTGCAGTGGCCCATCCTCTATATTGCAAATGTTGCAGGTACCTTCTTGAATTTTGAATCTTCGGAGGTAGCTGGCAAACGACCCATGCCCAGTCAGAAACTATGCTTCCTCATGGGTGAAGAAGCGTCTATTTTGGCCTAAGTTGTCAAAGATACTACATATAAAAATTTTTAAGATATAACTTAATACCAAATTAATAAAAACTGATTTATGTCAGCCTTGGGCAGTTTTTCATAAAAGTACTGCCATGCTTATAATACTTTAACAGAAATTTTTAAAAATGTACTTATTAATTTTATCTTTGTGCCACCGCTAGAGGACTATTTTAACTTTTTACATTGTAAGGTGGATGAGTAGCCTACAATAAAAGGTTGACTCTGCCGTGGAATTGTTATTACCTCAACAGCGTGTGAAGGGACTGAAAGAAATTGACTTATATTGTATGTATAGTCTCTTTAAGGACAGTAAAACAGTATTATAAGCACATTTTAAGGACAGTAAAACAGTATTATAAGCACATTTTTAAAAATTGCCAGGACAAATTTACTTTAACAGAAGAAAATATATTTGTTGAGACTATACATACAATATAAGTCTCAACAAATATATTTTCTTCTGTTAAAGTAAATTTGTCCTGGCAATTTTTAAAAATGTGCTTATAATACTGTTTTACTGTCCTTAAAGTTAATACATTTGCCAGTCAGGTGTTTATTACAAACCCTGCTACTTACCATTATTTATTCCAGCAAACTCTTCTGACCCTTTTTTGTATAAAGTGGCAGCCAACATTATTTTACCTCTAGTTATAAAGCTTATAAAACAAGAAATTAAAAATTGTGACATCATTTCCTGTTTACTAAAAACAAGCCTCTGTAGATTTAACTCTTACGTTGTTAAATAAAGTTTTCTTCATATTTATTTTCAGATATGGTGGTATTGTGACATTTGAAGTTTAACAAATATGAACATGTGAGGAAATTGTCCATAATATTAACAATTAAAAAAATAAAACACTGCAACTATGCTACCCTATTTTCATATCACTTTTGTCTTTTTCATCCATATCTGAAGCTTATTTGCTTATGAGGACATAGTATGTAAAAATATGTAAAAATTAATATGAAGAAATAAAAGTTTTATTTAACAACTTAAATGAAAGAGTGCATGCCATGCATTCTTGCTATACAATCTCACAAAATTGTCTCTAAATACTTATTTTATCATCTCAGTTTATCAAATATTTTAATAATGATGTTTTTACTTATCATTTATGTGACAATACTCAAAGCACCCCTTTGCTTTGGCACCACAGGACCAAAGGGTTGACACTGCATTTGCAATGACTAGTTCATCAGGACTGACACCACTGTCTTTTAAGCAGACACGGAAGCCTTGTTGGTGATAATTTCAGTTTTTCACATTGTAGGCACTTAGTTCTGACTTGAAAGATGGCATGGGTTGAGGAAGTGAACCAAACACAAATCAAGCGATAACAAATTCCCGTTTATTTACTGTAACTACCTAAATGTATACAAGCAAGGATAATATCTTGCATTTAAAGCTTTGTCCTCAATGTTAACTAGTTCATGACTTCAAAGTTGGAGAGAGAGAGTTTACATATAAGGTTCATAGATACCTGATAAGGGATCTGAGGCAACTCAAAGGCTTGATGGAGTTCACTTTTATGGAGTTCATGAAGGATCATTAAGGATGAAGGAAGGTCACTAAGGTATCCAATTGTTGAGGCAACTCTGAATAGAACAAACTTTTGATGGCGGCGGATTCTCAGATGAACAAACTGTCCCCTTTGTTGGTGGATGAACTGTTCATTGCCTTTATTGGGGGTCCTCCCTCTTTTCTCCCTTGCTCTTTTTTGGTAATGTTGCAGTGCCTATGTCCAATAACAATTTCTTGTCACCAAGTTCCTGGTGACACATTCAATATATCATCATCTTGAAAGGGAAGTGACTCCACAGAGGAATAAAATCATATCCTTTACAATTTTAACAATTGTGGGAAATATTATAAAAGTTTTAATTTCAAAAATTACATTTTTACCCAAAAATTCTCTTTTTATCAATCCTGGACTCACATTTATAAGTTTTAAGTATAATACTTTTCATTGTCGACAGTTAAACATATTTCTTTGCTGTCAACTATAAGCTTGACTTTAACCATTGTTGTTGTCATCTTTAATCATTTTTATCTGATCCAAACAATCCTACTTTCTGTTCAGATTAGTTTGATCACAATTCAGTTAATCCTAGATGAACATCACTAAAACCCAATACATTATAAAACTTCAAGCCAACCAATGCTGTATGTCATTGGACTAGATAACAACTATACTACTAATAAATTATGAAACAATTTAATACTAGTGGGAGATGTTAGGTGCCACCTCTTAATAAATTTAATAGGTATAATTTTTAATTAAATAATTTAGATCTACTGGAAGAAAAAAATTGGCCTGGAGCAGGACTTGAACCCGCAACACTCGCTTACCATGCAAATGCATTGCCAATTACACTACCCGGATCTCTGATCCGATCTTGTCTTTTAGTATATTTATAACATTACATTATAACCATCATTGGTTATTACAGTGCCTTGCCAGGGTTTGCAATGGCCAATTGAGTGCCTCAGGAGGGAACTATAAAACTATCTTAAATACTAAATACATTTTAAAATTTTAACTTAACATTCAAACACACATTTTTGTTTATAATAAATTAAAAATGTTGCTGGAAAAAATATTTAAGTTGTTGTTCAATCTAAATTAGTTTTACTTTTGTTAGAAGTGTTTTTTTATAGTAAATTAAATTATATATAGTAAAAACTTCTTAAACATATTGATATTAATAATTTAAAAATAGATGTTAAGTAATAAATATTTAATATAAAATTATGACTTACTGGTACAAATAATAATTGTGGATTTTGTTTTAACATTGTTTTAATTTATGCAATGTGACTGGATAGGGATAGAAGAACTATACTAATTTTTATAGTAAATACTCACTCCCTTAGATTATTTAATTGCTTTTACTTAGATAAGATAACACTATAACAAACAATTTAAAAGATATTTTTCAGTTAATCATTTATCACTTTAAATGTGGATAGTAGTAGTTTAAAATTAGATTCAAATGATAAATTTTTATGTTAGAACATCATGATACTGTAAGTATTCTATTATTTAACATCAATTAACAATTCAGAAATCCCTGAAAATTAACATATTTATATATAAATTTTAAAATGTAAATTATTTTAAATGTTATTATAAACAAATTGTTTATGTAAAATATTGAAGTAAAAAAAACATGTTGTTATTCTCATATCAGACCTTTATATACTGTATATTAAACATCACATTTAGAAAATGCTCAATATCTTATCTTCATTGTTGGAAGTCAAATACATTATCCAAGTTTTTAAAATAAAAAGTAAATAATTAAACATACTGAATTAAATTAATGAAAACATCTAAAATATTTATATTGTTAGTATTTTAATATTTCTTTGTATTATTTATATTTGTAAAATTACTATTTAAATTTAAGATAGCCTGTTAATTTTCCTAGTTTGCATATTTTCCTTCTAATAACTTACAGATACCTTCCACACTTATTTTAGTACATACATTTATTGAAAAAAAACAAACATTTTTGATCACTTTCAAAAACCTTCATCAGGTTATGTTTCCAAAAATCAAACACAATTAATTGAAAAATTTGAAAAAGGAGA